AAGAGAGATTATGTAAAGGTGCAAATCTCCAATGATGAATGTCATTATATTGTATACCTAAAATGTACCAATGATTAGAATGAATAATTGATAATGCGAAATAGGAAGAAAAGGTCCAAAGGGGTAGGGGACGTGGGAGGGGCAGGGGAAAGTAAAGAAGGGAAAGGAAAAATTATGAGAAAAGGAAAAAATGGAAATGAAGTCTCTGTAAATAAGGAAGGGTGGAGGGGGTGAAGGGAAGGCTGGGAATGGGGAAAAAATAAGAACCAAGATGCATCATGTAAATGTACAAGTTCCCAATGAGAAATGTAAATGTGTTGTATACCTAAAATGTACCAATAAAAGAATATTAAAAAAATCCATTCTTATGTCTGTCTTGAACAGAAGATAAGAGGACACAGACAAAAATCTCACAGTTTACTAAAACAAGGTGGTGAAAGTTTGAAAAGCAGAATATTTACATAGTGTCAGAAAACCCTCCCACAAGATGTTTATTAGTTACAAAAGAAAAATAATAACTTGGTAGTGAAGGAATCCAGCAATACTACTTTAATCAAGTTATAAAACTGAAAATGCTCAGAAATGGGACAAATTGATATCATGTGCCTCCTAATATAATAAACCAAGAAGGACATGATGTATAATTGAAAACCGATATGTGAAAACTTATATGTAATTATGTGAAAACACACAATCTAAATCTAATAACAAGAATACACCAAAAAAACCCAAACTGAGGGGTATTTGCAGGATAACTGGTCTATAATTATCACAAATATCACAAATGCAAAGAAATAGTGAGGATGTAGTCCAGAGAAAAAGAAATTAAAGATATAGCAAGGAAATGCAACCTGTTGGTCTTGAATTGGATCCTGGACCAGAGAAAAGTTTTTTCTTTTGTTATAATGAACATTAGTGGTCGAACTGAATAAATTCTGCAAACTAGTATTGTGTTATTAATTCATGGTTAATTCACATTATTAACTAGTATTGTGTTATTAATTCATGGTTTTGATCATTCCCCCATGGTTATGTAAGAGAATGTTCTTCTCAAAAGATACACATTGAAGTATTTAGGGATGAGTGGCATCATGAAGCAATTTTCTTTCTCATGCAGACAGAGATATGAGACCAAGGAAGAAAAAAAGGGAGGGAGGGAGGAAGAACAAGAAAATGTTAATGTGTTAAAGCATTAATATTTGTGAAGTCTGGGTGGAATTACACATATATATATAATTTATACAGTTTCCACCTTTTATGTATGACTGAAGTTATTCCAGTATAAGAAGTTCTGAGTTACACTAATCCCTTGGACTTGTCATATTCCCTTTGAGTTGTACAGTGGAAGATGGGCTGGCACTTTTCTTCTTTTTGAACGTATTTACAACAGTGCATACAACCCAGAGAAACTGATTAAGATTTTCAAGACCAAGATAGAAGAAAGTTCATTAATTTTCATATACTACATTTATCCCCATTCTACACAAGCCTTTCTTTCTTTTCTTTTCTTTTTCTTTTTTTTTTTTTTTGGTACCAGGGATCGAACTTGGGACCTTGTGCTTGCAAGGCAGGCAGCAGAACCACTGAGCTAAATCCCTGGCCCTACACCAGCCTTTCTGATTAAGAACATCAGAGTTTCTTAGCCTCATAACTACTGATGTCATATACTAGATGATTATTGAAAGGGCTATCTTAGCCTATTTAATAAATGGTGTTGGAAAAACTGGATTTCAACCTGTCAGAGATTAAAACTAGACCCATATCTATCACCATGCACTAAACTGAGATCTAAATGGATTAAAGATCTAAATATTAAGACAGAAACACTAAACTTGATGGAAGATAAGTTAGGCAGAACTCTTGAAGATACTGCCATAGGAAAAGACTTTATGAACAAAACCTCAGTAGCACGGGAACTAGCAGAAAGAATCAACTGATGAAATCTGGGATTTCATCTTATTGAAAAGCTTTTGCACTGCAAGAGAAACCACCAACAGAGCTAACAAACAACCTACAATGTGGGAAAAATTTTTTAGCAGCTGTAACTCAAAGGGCTACTATCTAGAATATATAAAGAACTGAAAAAAATCAGACCCCCCCCCAAATTCAAAGACCCAATTCAAAAATGGGCATCTGAAATGAACAGACATTTCTCAAAGAAGTAAAAGAAGTAAATAAACATATGAAAAAATGTTCAACATCACTGCTCATTCTAGAGATGCAGATGAAAATAACATTGAGATTCCATCTCATCCCACAAAGAATGGCTGCTATCAAGAAATCAACCAATAACCAATGCTGGCGGGGGTGTGGAAAGAAAGGAGCCCTTCTCCATTGTTGGTGGGAATGCAGACTGGTGCAACCACTATGGAAATCAGTGTGGAGATACCTCAAAGAACTAGGGCTGGAGGTCCCATTTGACCCAGCTATTCCCCTGCTGGGTATTTTCCCAAAAGAATTAAAAGAATCATACCACAGTGATATATGTGCACCCATGTTTAGAGCGGCACAGTTTGTAATAGCTAAAACTTGGAAACAGCCCAAGTGCCCATCAACTGGAAACTGGATAAAGAAGATGTGGTTTTTTTTTTTATAAAATAGAGTACTACTCAGCCATAAAGAATGAGAAACTAGAGTCATTTATAGCTAAATGGATGCATATCGAGGCCATACTCTTAAGTGAAATAAATAAGACACACATGTGTAAATACCAAATAGTTTCTCTAGTGAGAGAAACTGAGAGTGTAAATAAGGACTAAAAGGATTAATAACTAATAATTGATACTTTGAAATAAGAAAAGGTCCAAAGGGGTAGGGGTGGTGGGAGGGGAAGGGGAAAGGAAAGAATGGAAAGGTAATGCGGAAAAAATGAGAACCATGATACATCATGTACAGGTACAAGCACCCAATGATAAATGTAAATGTATTGTATACCTAAAATGTACCAATAAAAGAATTTAAGGGAAAAAAAAAGAAAGGGCTATCTTGTGCATTGTGGGATTTTTAGCAGCATTCCTAGATTCTATCCACTAGGGGCCAGTAGCATACCATCCTCAAGTGTGACCAGCAAAAATATTTCTATATGTAGTCAAAAGATCTCTTGTGAGACAGAACTGTCCCTGGTGGAGAACCACTAAACTATTTCTTCAGTAGTATGTGCCAGTTTTATCTTATGGAACACGGGGGGTGGGAGTAATGTGGTCTATACTGGGATAGATGGATCAGTCTACTCAAAGGAAGAAATAGCAGGACCCGGAGCCCAGCTGGCCCACGTCCTATGTGAGTGTCCTGAGGCCTGAGAGGAATCAAATTGCAGCATCCCTGCAAGTATAGGAGTTACTGTCTGAATGTATTGGTCAAATGGGGAAAAAAATAAGAATCAACATGAATCATGTAAAGGTACAAGTTCCCAATGAGAAATGTAAATGTATTGTATACCTTAAATGTACCAATAAAATAATTTTTAAAAAAGAATGTATTGATCAATTTTATGATCTAGAGCTTCTCTGTTGGTAATCTTACTAATTCAGTTTTTCTCTCTTATTTCATGGAGAGAAAAGAAAGTAGGGTTTTAAGAAATGGGAAATATTTTTTGTAATTCTGTACTTTTATAGTCAATCTTTTGGATTCAAACTGCATGATAAGAACAACAAAAAAAGATACTTAGGTATTCATAATGAAGCTTACTGGTCAGCATTTACTGTAACTTAGAAACAAAACAGCAATGTCTATGGAGAATTGGTTAGGAAGACAGGAGCCACAGTTTATTAATGCTTACTATGTATAAGATTTCTATGTATATATTTACTATGTATATGTTTACTATATAATACTTACTATGCACATGATTATAGGCTTATACATATTACATAAATTTTCAATTTATTTATGTAAAATTTATAACATATTATATATGGTATATATATTTAGATCCGCCTAAGATTAAGATGACTATCGTATACTTAAACTTCCTCACCAAAGTTCTAGAATCTCAGGGAACATAATTCAATTTTCTATAATATTCAGGGTTAGGTTTTTAATAGTGAGGAGTAATCATTTCCTTCTCTGTACAATATTATTACACAGTTATCTCTCATTTATTTTATTCTATTAATACTTATTGAATAACTATTATATATCAAGCTCTTCTCCAGTGCTGGAGAAGGAAACAAGTTGAAGGTGAAAAATATACTTACTTACTGTGTGCTATAGTATTATCAATTTATCTAAATTCAGCATTATATGCATTTTAAGTACTTGTCGGAAAATACACTTTTATAACATTTCCACTGTACTTTTGTAAGTTACTTCAAATCTCTTCCCTGCATAAACTATATCTCTTCCAACAACAAGAAATCTAGGGCTTTAATGAATTCAAGTTTCAAAGAAAAAAGTACGTTCAATAACTTTCTCCTTACAGCCTGGTTAAATAAATAAGCAAGCTTTGAGTGACTAAAATTAATAATAAACTATGTGTAGAGGGGTTAACAATTCAACTAAAGCAAACCAGTATAAAACATTTTGCTGTGGCACGTGGTGCAATGCTTTGCTGTTCCACTCACTCACTAAGCAAATGCTACCGAGTAACTTCCAGGTAGCAGGCACCACCATCTATTTTATTGATTTCTAAAGAATTACTCACATCACTCCTGTTTTTGGCATTTGTCTTTGCCAAAACTATGTCCATGGCATCAGGAATGCTAGTAAACTTGTTTTTGTCTGGAGGCTGACGATATTTCTTCTCACTGATGATTTCCGAAGCCCGCTTATTCTTTTCTGCTTCCAAAGAACCCAAGGGACTCCATCCTATGCCTTTCAGCCACTCCAGGTCAGACTTATACAAATTCTGTGAAAGGACAAAGCAAGCCATCAAAGTCCTGTGCTTACCTGCACCCCTTACCTTAGGTGAATCTATGTGTAATAAGCAGGTGCATTCAATAAGAATGAAAATTCTTCTTTCTAGTTTTTGTTTTGCTATGATTAAATAACCACTAATGTAGAATATGAATATAAAAATTATTGAATTTAATAGACACTGACCTCATTTTGTATATTTATAAACTATTGAATTTAATAGACACTAACCTCACTTTGTAGTTCATACACTTTTTTAGCTTGGATAACATCATTCTGATCGGGCAGGCATGTCCACTGATGTAAGTAGTTCTTGTAGTCCACATCACTAACCAAGGCTTGACATTTCTTGGCCAACACTACACCCAACATGTCCACAGGACTTGTGTACTTGGTTTTCCACTTCTCAAAGTCTTTCTTATATTCTCTTTCACTCTGCATTTTGGCTACGTTCATAGACAATACAAGTTTTGGGTCATCTTGCAAGCTCCGGAATCCAATATGGTGTCCAAGTTGCTTCCGGTAACCTTGTTTATATTTGAACTTCAATTGGAGGAAACATAGTTCTTTTAGTATCACAAACAAAAGCCTAGTCAAGCTCAGTTTTCTTTGTTTTCATATTGGTTTTCCAAAACTGAAATAAGAGAAGGGATATCTAGTCTATCTTAGTAAAAAAACTGTTTTGTTACTTAAGCAACACCTGTTTAAGCAGAGGTTTCCAAACAACCTAATGTAGCTGAGTATCAAGAGAAGTTATCTGAGAAATTAGTTCAATTAGAGGCAGAAATATGTGTGTGGATGTGCTAAACATTGTGTATACTGACTTAGGATAGCATTTAATAAAGTCCTTGTTATATTTTTACGGGAATGATAATCTCATGGGAAAAACAGACTGAATGGCAGAAAAACTAGGAAGGTACATGACTTAATGAACAGGCCTCAAACTTCAGATTACTTTATTCAACTGCAGGATTTTCAGAGCTCTGTCATATGTCATATAAGCTTGTTCTGTTTGGGATCTCTGTCTTACATGCACAAATGGCATAAACCTTAAATTCTATTATTCTAAATTATGAAATTATATATTAAAATAGCTCTTATTTTCTGCAATTTTATAGATACAAGAACCATTTGAAACCGAAAGAAAATACAATCTTTACAATGATGAGAAAGTTCACTTATAGTTGATTTAATTTTAGGGTATGTTCCAAATAATAGGTTCAGAAGAAAAGAAATTAGGTAATATCAAATGTTGCTTTGTTCACAAATTGCTGATGTTATTTCTTCAGTTCCTAAACTATCTTTAGCATATAATGCTAAATGAAAAATGAATTTACTTTCTGGGGCACATTCAAGCATCAGTACTGCTTTAGGTTCAGCATGACATTGGTTATTTTAATGAGATATTGACCTGAAAGCCAGAAAGTGGATAATAATGTATCATCAAATTAATTTTCAGTATTTCTGGAATGCAAAATTGAGTTAGAAAGAATCTCCTTTTATATCCTTAGAATTTATTGTCAGGTCCTGTCTTTAGGCATTCTTTCCATTCTGTGTATATTGAACCAAATTCTCATTGTTTTGTTTTAAAAAGTTTGATTAAGAGTTTATGTTCTTTAAGGTCCTCTGATTTTTTTTCTGGTTAATTTTTGGGATCAACTAAACGATATATTCACGTCTATGCAGAGCATACAATGTAATATTTATTAACATATAATGACTCAGTAAGGACCATAGCTAGTTTCCTCACCAGAGGTATTAACTACCCTTTGAATCATAACTAGGCACTGCCTTTTGGAGCACAAAAGCCCTTGTTCTATGAACTTTGAACCAGACATCCAACAGAAACTCTAGGGAGTTAAGACCCCTAGACTTTAAATCTAAGGACCTGAATGTTTCTGGGTTTTCCACACCCCAAGGTAGTTTATTATAATTACGTAAGTGCAAGTGCTATGGTTTGGATCTAGAATGTCTCCCAGAGGCTGTGTTGAAGGGTTGGTCTGCAATGCAGCAGGGTTCAGAGATGGGGCCTTCATGAGGTGACTGGATCAGGAGGGCACTGATTTCATCAAGTATGCTGTGTTCATACACAGTGAGTCTGGAGGAGGGGCTTTGCTGTAAAATCTTGCTCTCCCTCTTGTTCCTTCCATCCCTTCTTCCCTCTCTCTGCCTCTCATGTGCCACGAAGTGAGCTGCTTTATTCTAGCACATGCTCCCTTCTATAATGTTCCGCTTTACCACAGGCAGAAGCAACAATGCCAAGTGACCACGGACACAGAAACCTCTGAAAATCAGGAGCCAAAATAAACCTTTCCTCCTTTAAGTTGATTTCCTTAAGTTGATTGTCTCAGCCATGGAATGCTGACTAACATAGTAAGGATGGGGTAAATAAAAATAATGAACAGTTAGTTCTTAAATATGGCAGGGGTTATAGAGGTTGATTTATTATCTGGCACTTTGAATTTGTCTAAAACAGACAAGGAGAAGACAGAAAAATTAATTTCAGACAAAGTAGGAAAAAGCTGAAATCTCTGATTTCTTTGTAATATCTTGAAGCACTAGATCTTAGAGGTTTCCTATAATCCAGGAAGCCCCTGTTGATGCTCAAATACGGACAAAGAAGAGTGTGTTCTGGATAAGTAAAGGAAGACAAAAGGAACAACAAAAGTAAAGTTTATCTATAAAAATAGTTACCAATATTAAGTTACCTGATTCAGATAAAATTATACCTTTATATAACTCAAACCAGTACTTACATCACTAGCGATGTCTCTTGATGTTTTGGCCAGCTGTACAGAAATTGCATCAACTGGGAGATCATAGCCTTTCTTCAAAGCTTCTTCCCATCCTAGTTTATAGAATTTCTAAAAATTAAAGAAACTCATTAGCATTCTTCCTTCTATATTAAAATCATGACAGATTATTAAGCAAAAGTTTAAGTAGAAAGTGGATATCAGATTCTAACATCATCTATCCTATCTCTATAGATATGGATGAAAACAAAACAGGTGGTAGATTTTGGTAGATTTGGAAAAGTTCTGACCTAGTATCATGTGACCTGGCTTCATTTTTTATTTTCATTTTGGCTTTGAGATGAGACCCACTTTGTGCTATATTTGAACATGGCCTTTATTGTTCAGCAATGATGTGGTCATATCTGATATATCAGGTACCACTTTTCTATCTGTTAATTACAATCTTGGCAATTTTAAACATCAATATAATATTTTAATTACCTAAATGATAAAAGTAAATGGTGAAATGCCTTGTATAAGTTGCAATAAGTGAGTTAACCCTCCTCAGTTAAAACTAGTACTAACAAAAACAGTAAGTAGTCATCCTGTACTCTCCATGTGCCAGGTACTGTGCCCAGAGCCTTACATGAAATTTCTCATTTGGTCCTTATGGCAATCCAATGTCATGGGCACTTTTATGGTCCTACTTTTAGGAATGAACAAACTGAGGTTTAGACAGGTAGAAAATTTGCCCATTATTTGCAAATTTTAAATGTCAAAGCCAAAACTCATACCAAGTCTGTGTGATGTAATTTGTTTGTTTCAACATTTGTTGATTTCCTACTTTGCTCCAAGCACAATGAGCACAGAGATAAACAAAACAGAGGTAGTACATGTCTCTTTAGAGCATATAGTCCTAGCCAAAGCCCTTGCTCTTCACTATATTCTGCAATCTCCCTAGGCTAAGCAATTACAGTCATTCACTTCCACTTTTGCTTAAGCACTAACATCACTATTAAATCATTTTATAAGTTTCATAAGTTTTATGACAAAGCACAAAAGTAATATACTTACCTGACTATATAGTGTTTGATTCTGCTTGGCTTGTAAAATATCTGGTGTATCAGGCATCACGTGAATCTTGGTCTTATCTTTATTCCAATCAACAGTGTATAAATGCTAGAAAGTAGGAAAAAAAAGAGATATCTGAAGTCTGAATAACTGTTTGGGAAAAACAGGAAAAAATAAATATACCGAGTACTTGAATACACTCAATTTGAAATAGTGAATAATAATTAAAGTAAGATATAATTAACAAGAGATGTTAGAAAACAAACTCAGATTTTTAAAATATTATTTCAGATATTTTTTTATCAGCTAGAATGCATTGAAAGTAGTTCAGATGTAATCATTAAAAATCCAAAGTAATTTCTACCCCAATTAGAAGGGCAAAAGAAGGAAATACAGGAGATGGGCCTTATAAAATGGTATAAGGAGATGCTCCAGAACTGTCTTCCACTGCTAGAAGTAGTAGACCTCAGCTGGATTTCCCAAAACAAGGCCCAGAGCCTTTCCTCACTTGAGAGCCATGTGGAAGGGCAAGTTCTCCTACCTTGTTCATGGTATGAGCATTCTGTTTGGCTAGCACCATGTCCATGGAATCATTCAGCTTTGTAAACTGGAAGTTGCTAGGATGCTGGCGATACTTCTGATCGCTGGCATATTCTGTGGCTTTCTTGGCCTTCTCCACTTCCAGGGAACCAGCTGGACTCCAGCCAAGGCCTTTGTACCATTCATTGTAGTCTTGTTTATATTCGTTCTATAAAGAGAAAAGGCAAACTCTACCTCATCAATTTAAATACAAAATTAGGGCATGTAGGACTGTTATCTTTCTTCCCATACTAAGAATCCAACTAAATCACCCAGATGAAAGAGAGTCTTACATCACTCTGTATACGATTCATATTCTTGGTCAGCTCAATGTTCATCGAATCCGGAAGGAGGATGTACTTGTGAATCAGGTGCTTGTAGTTAGTGTTGGTGATGTTGGCTTGGGCATCCTTGGCGGCTGTAACACTAAGCATATCAGCAGGGGTGTGGTAGCTGGTCTTTGTCTTCTCATAGCTTTTCTTGTACTCTCGATCAGATTGCATCTTAGCCACTTGCATGGAATGGACTAATTTTGGATCATCCTCAAGGCTACGGAAACCAACCATTTTTCCCTTCTCCTTTTCATAATTGTACTTATATTTATACTGTGAAGAAAATATGACAATGTATAAGTAATAATTCTCTTGGCTAAAATGATTCTTGTATAGAGCACTACAGTATACAAAACATGTTTTGGACATTTACCTTTGTAACTTGATTCTTACAACTATACCTTGTAAGGTAAATAGGAAAATTTTTATTATTGCCCTCATGTTATAGATGATTATGTATGACTTGCGGCAATGACTAAGGATTAGAACCCAGAACTTGTGATGCTGTATTATACTTAATGACTTATGCATATACTCTGTTGTTACAAAAATAAGAATACAAAAAATAACACATGATCTAAACAGTTTAATACTACCCTGAGAAATCAAACAGCCAGTCATTTGCTGATGAGAACAGATTCAACTATAAAATACACAGTATAATTTTAGAGTAGCTTTATATTTGCATAATGCTATTACTTTTAAAAGTATCTAAACTGACATAATGTGGAAGAAATTTTTACTATTTACCACCTCAACTTCTAAGGGGAGATCATGATACATGGAAAATTTCTCATTCTGCCTATCTTTTCATGAAGTAGGAGCCAGAAAAGACAAATGCAGTGTCACGGAGGGAGAATGTGGAATCCTCAGGACAATGAGAGGGTGTGGGAAGTGCTGTATAGGTGGGGGTGGTAAAGAACAGAGACGGAAGAGCAAAGTACAACTGGGAGGCAGCCAAGAAAGCATGCACAGCAGTGTGCTCCTTCCAACACCCTCAGTCATTAAATGCTCCCTGGGAGTGAATTTCTGGTGGAAATAATCCAGTGAATGAATTAAGTTTCTTACAGGAGATATGTTGTGACAATGTTGTACTGAGGCACTGGCCTTTTCTGGAATGGGATGAGGGCACTGATTCGTAGTGTTTGACAGTTTCTATGGTATAAACACTCTCACCACAGCTGACATTAAGCTACAGTGGGTTAACAACTGGTTTGCAAAATTTCTGATTACTTAAAAATTGCTGTCACCAGCCCAAATAATCAGCACTCCCAACTCAATGCTACATGAGACATTCTGTTAGGATGTCAGATCGTAAGAGACAGAGACAAGAACAACACAGCCTTTCACCAAGAAAGACTTTCCACAAGCCATAGTTTTGATGACAGAAATCAAGGTAAGTTCACCTAGATCCCTTGAGGTAGAGAGCTAAGATCTATGGGGCATAACATAGCATTCTGTTTGTTTTTTTTTCCAGAAATACCAGGGAAAACACATAAACAAGACTAAGAGACATTCACAGGACCCAGTGAGGCTACTGTCAACAGGCACACTTTTTTTCTTTGTTTTACCCACTCAGTGTTTCCAGAACTCAGACCTTATTATTTTGTACTGCTTTCCTTCACACTTACATCACTTGCAATATCTCTCGAGGCCTTGGCGGCTTTGATAGGAATTGCGTCTGTCCTGAGATCGTAGCCTTTCTTTTTAGACTCTTCCAAAGAAAGTTTGTAGAGTTTCTGTAAAGATAAGCAAAGGCAATAGTTTTTCTCTACATAAGAAAGCCTGGATTTACTCCAAAAGAGTAAACTAGCACTGTGGCATTCTTTTTATTTTGGGCAGAAAGCTTTGTTGGTGGTTTAGGGGCTGAATGCTCTCATAAGTAACATAATTGTGTTTGGAAAAAAAAGCTATTACAAACTCAAACATTAAGAAGCCACCAGAAAAAGTAAAAGGTACTGATCTCTATAAGACTGTAAATATACATTAAGGATGTAAAGTAGATTCTTATTGATGTACTTTATCAAGTAAAATTTTAAGGAAAACTAAAGTAATAGTCATCTTCATTTATCAAAAGGAAACTTCACTAACTTTTAATCATATAAGTATATAGATTCTAAAATTTTTAAAAGTCAGCAATTCCAAATCACTGTGGAATTCAAACAAAGAAAAGGATCAGAGGATTTCATAGCAGTTATGGTTAGGAAGAATAATAAATGAAGTAAAACATGAAGGCATTTTCTAACAAGTGTTCCATATTTCTTGTTGTAGAGCTTGCCCCAATTTCTTCAAACTGTTTATCTTCCCTTTCCATTTAACCCTTCTTTAGGATCATCTCCAAAGTGTGGTGGAGGGGCTCTCTAACAGTGAGCTCACGAGACTCTCACTTTCTTTTCCTCTTCTCCTGGCCACAAGCCCTTCTCTTCCTGCCAGGCCTCTTAGTTTGATGAGTTCCTGCCCCAGAACAAAATCCAATCACTCTTCAAATTCCTAACTGCTTGTCCCAACCTCCATTGATAGGCTCAACTCTTAACAGAGCGAGATTAGAAAGGGAACGATTCTCATTTATGGATTCTATTATTTTTTAAGCATTTACTCATATGATTGAAAGAGACATTGATTAGTTACATATGTTCTTACTGGTTCAAACAAGCTAAAAGGAAAGGTGCCAACGGGAAACTGTACTTACATCACTCATATTAATTGCATTTGCCTTTGCCAAAATAATCTCAGGGATATCAGGCATGATATGGACTTTGGTCTTGTCAGCTTCCCATGCTTGTCTGTAGAGTTGCTAGGGGGGAAAAGTGTAGGTAGTATTTAAAATCTTTAGAAGAGCTTACTCAGCACATATACACAGAGTTGTTTCCAGGTACTCTGCTGGTTCAGTGCTATGAACTTCTACTCATCCTTACCTTAGACAAATGGGACTGGCTCATCTTCAAGATGTATAATCAAAGAAAGAAAGAGTTCCTACCTATTTTGTTATGCCAGTAAGATAGGAAGATTCAGCAGACATTGAGGGGGTACTACTTGGAAATTATTATTTTTTTAAGCTCTAAGACCCTTTTCCAAACTAAAGTAAAGCTCAAATATGATCCCTTGTAACTGGGTTAGCAAAACCTGTGGATCAAATAAAAAAGAGACCTGGATTCTCTCTGATGTACATGAAACACTACATTATTGAAAGACTTACATCATTCATAATTTTTGCATTATTCTGGGCCAAAACCATGTTCATTGAGTCCATCAATGTGGAGTACTTCAAAGTGTCTGGATGTTGGCGGTACTTCTTTTCACTAATAATCTCCATGGCTTTCTTGTTTTTCTCAGCTTCTAGAGAGCCCAGAGGGAGCCATCCAATGCCCTTCATGAAGTCAGTATAGTCAGCTTTGTACTGATTCTGCCAAAAAGGAAAAAATTCAATATTGAGATGAAATAAAAACTTCAGTTTTCAACCAATAAAAAGTTGAAATTCAAACATTTTTATTCCTAACACTTTCTTTTTTACATTTTTTGCATGAGAAATTAAAAATACACAGAAAGGTCTTTGTGATTTGCTTTTCTTAATGCCTTCGTAAAGAAAAAGTGCTAGAAATGCCAAAAAGATGAACCTTCTATTTGACTATTATCTCCTTGTGAAGATGACTATGCTGACCCCTATACCAAAACTTCTAAGTTCCCTTAGAGCATCGGGAAGGCCCATTTCTCGCTATGTGCCTAAATCTGATCGTCTGCCACCATCCCATTTCCCTCAGACACGACAGAAACCTCACCAGGCCTTGGTGTGTTTATTTCCCCCTCAGCCCTGACATTTCTCTCTGCAACTGTACCACAGTCCCTTTCATTAGGCACTGGTTCACCTCCCTGGCAAACAATAGGTCAAGTTCACATTCACAAAGAGAAACGCAGGCTTGATGTAGGGTGGTCTGCTTTGGGTTGGTAATTTAGATCCATCTAGCCACCAAATGGCCTCATCAGCTGTATTCATCCCAAAAGCTACCTCAGTCAACAACTCCTCAATATTTCATCAATAAAATAGGCAACTACAAAGATAGAAGCAGTGGGTTGAAAGCTGCTTGGGAGTGAGGGGCTGGAGCTTCAGAGTTTCTTCACTTTTGTTCCTGTCAGGATCCCGCAATGTACTCAATGCCCTTTGCTAGACTTATTTCTTTCAATACATTTTTCCTGAAACCAAGTCTCATTTGCTCTGTTGCTTTATTCAAAATTCAACAATGCTCGCAGAAACTAAAGTAGAAAGTAAGACTTTAGTTTCTTGAGTTGATCTGCTTTTATTAAAAGAGTTAAATTCTACCGCAGGCAACAAATAGAATACCAGGTCAGGAAACTGCACATGAATTTCTTTCAAGATTTTTCAAAATGGTATTACTATGGTCACAGATGATTTGCTTAAATGTTGTGGCTTTCACATACCTCGCTTTGAATCTGCATCATATTCTTGGCCAATTCAAAGCTCATGGCATCAGGAAGCATGTTGTAGGTATGGATTATGTTCTTGTAGTTAGCATTAGTGGCCACTTCCTGAGACTTCTTGGCTGCCACCATGCTGAACATGTCCACTGGAGTGTGGAAGGATGTCTTGGATTTCTCATATCCCTTCTTGTATTCCCGGTCTGACTGCATCTTGGCCACCTGCATGAAGTGCACCAACTTGGGGTCGTCTTCCAGGCTCCGGAAGCCAATGTGTTTCCCTTTGGCTTGTTCATAGGCTTGCTTGTATTTGTACTGTGGACAGAAAAGAAAACACAACAATAGAAATAGAGAAAGGAAGAGAACAAATATCATTCACTTGGTGCCATTGGCTTTGATGCCTCGGTAAAGGATTTCAGAATTCCTCTAGAATTAGGCACAGAGAGGTCACCATGGCCAGGGAGATTTGTACTTCAAATTTTGTCCTCTATTTGAGTCCATGGAAAGAAAATAATCTCAAAGTTAAGGAGACATAAATATAAGTTGGCTTAGGGTGACTGAGGAAACATTTCTTCCTTCTCAGACAACTAAGCACAGAAAAGGCTGCAGCACAATTGCTGATAGTGCCTCTTTAAAGTGAATAAAGACGGATGGGAATTTAGCTCAGTGGCACAAGTGGCAAGCACAAGGCCCTGAGTTCAATCCCGGGTACCAAAAAAAAAAAAAAAAGTGAGTAAAGAGCCTGGTTGTGGTCCCCGGGGTGAAATGTGTAGATTTCACACTTACCATTTGTGCAGAATTGTCTATAAATGGTTTGAAAACTCAAAAATCAACTTACTAAAACAAGACCCAGTCACATTTTACATAGAATAATGAACAAACGATTAGAGGGTTCTTGGGCCTGATTAGAGGATGAAGGGAGGCAACGTGTGTGTGATGGGGCCTGTTGTCCCCCCAGCTGATTGAAGCTGGCCCCAGCTCTCGAACACACGCAAGCTCAGCTCATTTGCTGTCTGTTCAGCCTAAGGAAGGGCTAGGAGACGTGCTTACGTCACTGGCCATGTCTCTAGAGGCTCTGGCAGCCTTTACTGAGATGGCGTCAGGCCGCAGATCATATCCTTTCTTCTTTTCTTCTTCCCAGCCAGCTTTGTACAGTTTCTAAACAATGAAACAGAAGACAAAGAGCATCTTATTACTTGGGTCTGAATGAGGATACTGATTCTAAAGTGGCTGTCATGTAGAAGACAGACATTTCCGAAGTATTAGTTCCCTCCACCTCCTCCCCGACTTTTTGTTGCTGATCTACTCACCTCACTCATGGTGATTTGGTTTACTCTGGAGAGTAAAATGTCTGGAGTATCAGGCATGACATGAATCGTAGTCTTATCTTTGTTCCACTTTTCAGTATACTGCCTCTATGAAAAGAAAGTCACATGGGGGATTTAGAGCAGGACAAGTTTGTAGTTATAATAGTAACAAAAAGAGATTTACATTCTCATGGTAGAAGAGATTAAATTTGATATTAGAAAATGGATGAAATAGGAAGATGGCTGAAGGCAGCAAATACACAATGGGAAAAATCATCATCAATGAGGGACCCCTCTTTCATTGAAGCAAAAATTGCTATTTTGCTTTCATTCCATTGCTGTGTGGAGCTGTATCATAATGTTGTACCCTTAATGTGGTGTGGAGAGATGGCCTGAAAGTCAATACAAAAGAGAAAGCTCTAAACACAATGGAGTTCTCACCACCAATATGGCCACCAGAAAGAAAAGCATACTGAAGAAGTCTAAGGCCAGTGCAGGGCTTAATGGCCTGAGCACTCTGAGGATCGAGTGGAGGCTAGCAGATGGGCTCTTACCTTATCCATATTCAGTTTGTTACTTTTGTTAAGTGCCTGTTCCATTGTGTCCATGCCGTATGTGAACTTCAGCTTCTCCGGGTGCTGGCGATACTTCTTTTCGCTAAGAATCTCTCCTGCTTTCTTTGCCTTCTCCACCTCCAAGGACTCTATTGGGATCCAGCCAATCCCTTTCATCCAGTTTGTGAAGTCGGATTTGTAGAGATTCTTTACAACAAGAAAGGAAGTTTCATTTCAGAAAGAGGCAAGACTTGCATTTCTTTGGCTACATGACTTATTACCAAGGAGAAAAGAAGGGACAATACAAAAGAGAGGAAGAGAAAGGTGAATTTTACTCTGTGGCCTTTTGGAAAAAAATATGATCATGAAAATAATTGTATTCATGGTGTTTTTGGACAGAAAATCCTAACTTAATAATTCCTCTAAAAATTGACTTTCTTGAAGAAAAGAAATAAAAAGTTAATGAATTTTGCATTGGGAAGGGAATAAGTCACCTACTTAAGCCTTCAAAATTTTCATACATCATATGCTCCAAAATTTAAAATATATGCACATTTATATTCACATGTTGTTCAAATAAGTGAAATCCTAAAACTTCAAATTCTGCAGGAGATGTCTGAAGAACAGTGAGCTCAGACAGGTTTAGAATGGAGTGGGTGGTTCTTGTGCTTCCCTGCCACCCGTACACACAAAAGCCTAACTCTGCTGCCAACTGGTGCCCGGCACATACATCACTCTGAATCTGCATGGCATTCCTGGAGTGCTCCACATTCAAGGCATCGGGCAGGAGCGTGTAGTTGTGGAAGGGTTGTCTGTAGTTAGTGTTGGTAGCAACCTCCTGAGATTTCTTTGCAGCGGTCACACTGAACATATCCAAAGGTGTGTGGTACCGAGTCTTGCTGGCTTCATAACCTTTCTTGTACTCACGATCTGATTGGATTTTGGCCACATTCATGTAGTGAACCAGTTTAGGATCATCTTGAAGACTAAGAAATCCAATCTGCTTGCCTTTAGCTTTCTCATAAGTCTCTTTATATTTGCACTATTTGAAAGAAAAGGACAGAAATTTGATAGGGTAGAAGTTTGAATTTATATAACAAGCAAAAGCCAAACTCAGTTTGGATCTAGGTAACATCTAGATTTGTTGTGTTTTTAAACAAATAACTACCAAAATAATTCTAATTGGTGGTCTTGAAACCTGTTCTGAGGACAATTAAGAGAAGACTAATTTAGGGCCAGGGATTTAGCTCAGTGGTTCCACTGCCTGACTCGAAAGTGCAAGGTCCAGAGTTCGATCCCCAGTACCAAAAACAAAAAACAAAATTTAAAAAAAAGGACTAATTTGTAGTTTATATCTAGATTGTTCATAAGTAGATTGTTTGAATATGCTTGAAGGTTCAAGCATTGAAGGTTTTGCATTATCTTATAAAATATTTGCATAATCACAATTTCAGCAAAGCCCTAATATAAAGTATTGAAATTAATGAATTTTTTACCCTATAAAGACATTTTCATTGATTCATTGAGAAAATATAACATACATTGTAAAAAACAAAAGCTAATATCCTATTTTTTTATTGTATAACTCTGTAGAAATTATAAAATTAAAAGAGCATATTCTTTTAAAATATTCAGAGACATTTTTGATTTAGTGGTATTTTTGTATAGACTTTTTCTTGACAAAATCCAAATTAAAAGGGGCTTTTAGGTTCACGATGATAGTAATGTGAGTTTCAAAGTTTCGACAATTTTAAAAAATCTAATTATTTCTTTGTGACAACTGTCTTAAGTTTTTAAAGATATTTAAATCGAGAAATACAAAAATATTATTGGTACTCAGAATATTAGGAAGTATTTTACATCATAATTTTTTATTTGCTTCCTTAGGTAATTAATAGCCTTATACACCCGTGCAGAGATTTTGAGAAGATATGGAGAGGCCATTTACTATTTTCAAACTGGACTTACGTCACTCGCAATATTTCTTGAACTTTTTGCGGCAACAATGGGAATGGCATCTGGTCTCAAATCATAGCCTTTAGCAAGGGTTTTCTTCCAGTCTGCTTTATAATGAGCCTTTAAGAAAAAAAGAAAGATTATTTTGTGACTTCCCATTATTAAAAAAGGAATGAAAAAGGATGCCAAAATGGTCCTTCAAAAACCTGTCATAACACATCCTTTTCTGTGAAGAGAATCACAGAATTAGGATATTAGTTCATCTCTTACATCTCTATCAGATACGTATAATTTAAAAACATATTTTTGCATAACAAAATAACAGAAAAATAACGTTCCGAATGTGAAATAACATAAGATGTCAATTTATCTTTTCATAATTGTCTATATATTCAACTTTTCTGTAATAAGCACATAATACCTTTGAGAAAAGTTACAGAATAAAGCATTTTAAATTTATACATTGTCAGGTATAGAAGCTAAAATTAAAATTTTAAATGTAATGCCACCTAGCTTTAATTGATCTTATTGCTTAAATATTACTTATAAAATTAGGGGAAATTTTTTAATGAGCCAAAGCATAAAAACGATTACTAAAGGGCCGGGGATTTAGCTCAGTGGTTTCGCCGCCTGCTGCGCAAGTGCAAGGATCCGAGTTCGATCCTCGGTACCAAAAAAAAAAAAAAAAGATTACTAAAAATGTACATTTGGGGACAAATCACAGCCTAAAATGTTAGGAAGAATGACTAGGACATCTGTAAAGAAATAAAACAGGGCTGGAGATTTAGCTCAGTGGCTTTGTCATTTGCCTTGCAAGTTGCAAGGACCTGAGTTTGATCCCTGGTACCAAAAAAAAAAAAAAAAAAAGAAAGAAATAAGCTAGTGTTATTCAAAAATTACCAAGATTTTTTAAAAAGAAAACAATACAAATAATAGATTTAAACACCATCACCAATTTTGTGTCTAGATTACCCAAAATAGGCTTATTCAGTTTTTTAAGAAAATTAAACTCTTTTAGAAGCTTTAATAAATAACTGAAACCAAAGTAGTACAAAGCAATACTTAGTCTTATGATAGACTATGTATTCCCACATTTTCCAATCACTTCTTCCATTTCTTCAAAAATGGGACAGCATTTTCTAGACTGATTTTACCACCCGCTAATGAGTCCCAGGCCAAGCTCTGAAAAACTTCTACAGTAAGCAAAGTCTTATGATGGCCCCGGTCTCACATTGTGTGATCAGGGCATCTGGGGACTCAGAGGCTCCACGTGCAGTCTGCTGCCCTTCAACTGCGCAGTGTAAGAGGGACCCAAACAGGAAAGGAGAGGCCCTGGAAGCAATGTTTGACTGGCTCCAGCCAAACACTCACATCACTCATGTTGAAGGCGTTGACCTTGGCTTGAATAAACTGAGGCAAGTCGGGGTCTATTGTGTACTTGTGCTTCACTTTCTCACCCTCCACCTTGTAGTTCAGCTGCAAACAAAGGAAGAAATGTCCAAATGTCATAAACCGACAGAATGTGAGCTTCATCAAGCACCCACTCCTTTGGAAGCTATCATTTGTGTTTTCCACATACAAGCCAAATGCCTACAGTATGGCGGGGAGGGGTCTCTGGCTGACATAGTCACGTTCTTACTCCACCAATGTTCACTGGACTGAGGTCCAGGAAGGGTGTTAGGCTCTAGGGTGTAAAGTGCTGAAAAAGGTAGACTGTCTTCTTGAAGCTTACAGTCTAGAAGAGGCAGACAGTAAACATGTGAATTACAAACTATAGCAAAAATGTGTGAGGTGTTTTAAATAGAATAACTGTAGTAGAGAACAAAAATAGTCATAAAGGCTCTCTGCGAGGGTAAAATTTACACTCAAACTTGGAGCAAGGGGAGACTTGCTGGCAGAAGAAGAGCCTGCCCACTTTGAACAACTGGGGGCAACCTGAAACAAGGGGTTGGATGTGCCCAGAGGAGCCAAGAAGGGTAGACAGAGCAGGGAGCAGGCCTTGGAGTGGAGGATCTTTTCAGCCAAGTTAATAAGTTTACATTTTAAATCCCAGAAAAAGGTCCTAACAGGTTTTTCATATTCAAGGGAGGTGACACGATTCTTGGTTTAAGACATTCTCTCAGGTAGCTGTGTGAGACCCCAGGCAGGGAGTCCTGGCAGCAGATCACTGCAGTGCCTCCAGTAGAGACAAGAAAGCCAGAACTAGGGTTGGTGGCAGAGGAGAGACAGATGCTCCAGCTAGTTGGCTGGGAGATGTTGAGGACAGGGCGCTGTCTTCGTAGATGTACTGGACTGTGAGGGAGTGTTAAAGGAGACCACTACGTTTCCAGCTGTACTTACTAGGTAGATGTTGATGGCTTTTATTGGGATAGGGAAGACAATATACTGAGTGTACAGTTTTCCAAGTGAACTGGGAAAATTCAATGAGAAGGGACACCTTGCTCAGTAAAAAAAAAATAAAAATAATCTATACCATTTTTGGCAACTAAAATAGAATTAATCCTAAAGATCTGCAGTAATGTAAGAGCAGGGACTACACTAAGAAATAAAACCCACAGATAGGCCAGGGTTTGTGGCACACACCTATAATCTCAGCACTCAGAAGTCTGAGGCAGGAGGATTACCCCAAATTCAAAGACCAACATAACCTACATAGTGAGTTCAGGGCCAGCCTGAACTACACAGTGAGACCCTGTGTCAACACCCCCTAAAAAAGCCCCTCAGATAATCCTCAGATCTAACGCAACTAAAATATTCCCTACCTTATAAAATTTGGGGCTGAAAACAAAACAAAACAAAAAGTCTTTCTTCCTTTGTCTTTTACTTATTTCTTTCTGATGGAGACATTTTAGAAGAATTCTGAAATTACTAAATGATGAGAGGCACTGAGCATTCTAATTAGCCTTTGAAAGAACAAGGGTCCTGGGTTCAGAAATGAGACCCAAGATGACTGCAAATAAACTGTTCTCCAGAAGACCTTATTCTATGATGGCCTCTCAAAACATGGAGCTGTTATGCCATGGGATTAGGACATTGTGCCTCTCCCCTAGTATCCAACTAGAACTACTGGAGCTCAGAGCAATAAGTAGATTGTTCTGCAGTTGTTCTGATGATAATGGTAATGTCACTTCATGTGTATAATGGGCAGGGATCTGTTTGTGAAAAGTCAGACTCTCTACATTTGGAAAATAAAGCAAATTTGGAACAGACCTCTTCTCCCCCACCTATTTTCCCTATGTTCAAGGTCCAAGTTGCTTCAAAAGTAAAACTTGTCTCTTATGTTTCTGAAAGCAGTTCATTTGCTAACATAGATGCATCCTCGTGTATTGAATTAAGAAAGATGGTGGGGTAGCCCAATCACAGGAGGTTATTAATGAATGAACCCTTTAGAAGGGAAGTCACTTACATCACTTAGTTGCTTTGTGTTCTGCTGAGCTAAAACCATGCCCATGGAGTCAGGCACACTTGTGAACTTGATAGTATCTGGGTGCTGTCGATACTTCCTCTCATTTAATGCATCACCTGCTTTCTTGGCCTTCTCAACCTCCAAAGAGCCAATAGGGATCCACCCAATGCCCTTCAAGAAGTTGTTGTACTCATCTTTATACACATTCTGTAAAAGAGTAAGCTCACATGAGGAGGCATCATAGGAAATATTCAAGGGATGTTTCTGGGATCTGTAATTTTATCCAAGGGAAACGAGCAGCAATTCTTTCCAATCAGCTCATGTCTAACTATGCCTGTCACAGAGCTTATTACCTGAAACTTGGCATAAAAAAGAGCAGTTATGTTGTTAGAATGCATTATACAGCACAGAAAAGAATCTAGGTCATATATTTCCATGGGTACTGTTTAAAAAATTGTTTCTTTTGATAATAAATTGGGCTTTCTTTTGATTTCACTGTGGACTCCAAAACTTCAAGTTTCACCTGTACTTTCCACCTAGATGATTCCCAATTTCAGCTGGGTAAAAAGATTTTCATTGAGCTCCAATAAATGAATAACATTTCTTCTCTTTATAGAGGACAATTCTTACAGAAATCTGGTTCCTGCAGAAAGAAATGCTCTCAATGTTAAACACTTCCCCATTCAGCTCTCCATGAATCATGCTGCAGGAACAAAGCCTTTCTAATGCGTTTTGGATGACTCATTACATAGATGTGCCTGTATAACAGGGTGACCTTGAAGAAAAAAACTTTCTTGAATTCATAAAGCTTCAAGAATTCTCCTACTTTGTATTAAACAAGTAACATGGTTGAATTAGGCCCATAGGAACATCTGTGGCTGAGAAGCAAGGTGGTGTCTCACACAGTTAGTGGAACAGTTTTATCTTTCATCTATGATAATAAAGATGTCAATGATTATGATATAAGTACAGAAAGCCAAAAAAAAAATAGCTTGTCTACCTTGCCTTTGGTAGTTTTTCAACAAATGCTGATTCTAAAGTGCATTTTTCAAATACCTTACTGTGTTCTGAAGCCTAATAAAATGGAGAGGAATGATCATCCCAACATTTCTGAGTCTGTTATGTTATATCCACTTACATCACTCTGAATTTGATTCACATTCCTTGTGTGCTCAAGACTCATGGCATCGGGTAGGTACGTGTAGTGATGTATCGGCTGTTTGTAGTTGACGTTGGTGGCCACATCCTGGGCCATCTTTGCAGCTGTAATGCTAACCATGTCCCCAGGGGTATGGTAACTGGTTTTGGTGTTCTCATAGTTCTTCTTGTATTCACGATCGGACTGCAGCTTTGCCACATTCATGTAATGGACAAGCTTGGGATCATCCTGGAGGCTTCTAAAACCCACATGCTTTCCCTTTGACTTCTCATATGCTTCTTTGTATTTATACTGCAGAGACAAAATTTGGTTAGCAAAGTCTTAGGCACTCAGGACATTGTAACTTTCTGGAAAAGTGTTCAAGAAATGCAAAGGACACCTCACGCCAGAAAGCCCTGAGTTAAAACATTTATTTCAAACTCTGCTGGTGGTATGGTTTGCATTTCAAGAGAATGTTATTATAAATTCAAGACCATTTTTTTCTTTGCCTTGACTCCTATTGGTGGTTTGGATGTAGAATGACATTTAAAACCAAATGAAGTTTCACATTTACTATGAACATGACTCCTTCCAAGTATCTCATGGTTTCTCGGGGATGTGACTTTTTCTAGTCCAACATGTGATTTCCCAAAATGGCTCGCTGTGTAGGTAGCTGGGCCTTCACCGAACCTGATTATCAGCAGCTTCTCTCACAGCCAAAGCAGCTGTAAGTAAATTAAGGAGCTACAGTAAAGGCAGGAACTGTTGTGGGGGTTTCTCATGAGTAAAACCTAATTTTAAAAAACTAGCCTGGTCAAGGTCTCTCACTGTTGGGATCAGCAATGGGAAATAGATTGAGTATTCAACAGCAGGTCAAAACCTCAATTTTTATACAAGAGAATTCAAATCCACCTAAAGTGTGCAGACACTGAGCTCTCCTTACACTGCAATGTAAGTACGGGTTTATAAACGAGGATTTAGCAAGTCAAAGGATTATCAAGTATGTAAGTATAGGTATGTGAGAAAGAGAGTGCTTATTCCCCTGTCCCTTATGTGGGCTACACACATGGTTGGTTTCTTCCTTCTCTTTTCTCAGCCAAGACTATAGCCCCTGGAGTAGCATCTGACAGTAGCCTGCAAGCCATGTATGCTTTCTGAAAATTCTGTTTCCCAAAGATGGGAAGAAGTGTAAGTACATGTTTTTTTTTTTTTAATTACAGATGAAATAGGTACCAGTTTACCCAAATCAAAATTGTATCCTGAAAAGGTGGTGTCTTCTCAGTTGGTTTATAAAACTATGTATATTTATATAACATCTTTTCAATCTTTTTAATACAATTATAATGCAGGCAGTCATTTGATTTTAACATGTGTCACCCCGGGTGTTCCCACTGAAAATAAAGACGGGCTGTGGGAGAAACGTGTCAGCGAAGGTAATCCGGCCCATGCATCAGGGGAGGAAGCTTCAGTCAAGGTTATGACAGCTCTACCAAGCAGGGTCAACTGGAAAGAATCACAAAGATGTCGAAAAAGTGACAGGTTTTCAAAACAATACTGTGCAGAATGTGAATGTCATTAAGTCAACATTGTTTTCAGTGAGGTATCCATTTAAACAAGTACACATTTGATTATTTTTTAAATAGGCAGTTACTTAGATTTCACCTCTAATTTTTACTCACGTCACTGGCAATGTTTCTTGATGACTTGGCTGCAGTGATGGGAATGGCGTCGGCCAGGACGTTGTTGCCCTTGGCTATTAAATCATGCCAGTCCCGTTTGTAACAGACCTGGGGTGGAAAATCAGAAAGGATGTCGGCATGTTGTGTATTCATCCAGCGGAAGCGATTTCTCAGTTTCTGGGATTGTCAGACAGAATCTGACAGAAGGAATCCCCTAACTCCACATACCCTTCTAGCAAAGTATCACACATCGTGTCTAGCAGGAAATTGCTGGACAATGCACTAATTATTCTCCCAAATCTGGTTTTGGCACGTTGTGGAAGAGGGACACTGAGAAACTGCAGGGGATCCAGAGGAGAGTAATAAAGGTTCTGGAAACGCTGGTATTTGAGGACCGTGAGAAAAACAAAGCTGCTCAGTCTTGTGAAACGAAGATCAAGAGAAGACTTAGTGATCAACTTTAGAAATTTTATGATTGTTAGAAAATAATAAGGATTTCATTTATTTTCATTTGTCATTTTTTCCCCCTCCACATGAAAACTAGAAAACTAAGTAGAAGTTCTAGGGGAACAGATGGTGGACTCCACATAAAGAAGAACATTATGTCCCATACTGTTGTCCTACCTTAGAAAGGACCAACTTGGCAATTAAAGAACCATCATCCTGGGATATGCTCCACTGGGGGCTATGTGGAGAACTGTACTACGTACTTGTTGAGGCACTGCCTTTCTCTAAAATGTTATCATTTTATTGCCAGGTCTGGATTTATACCCCATCAAAGATCCTACTTACATCACTTATATTGTAAGCATTGCACTTGGCCTGGAGAAACTGTGGAAGATCAGGACTAATTGTGTATTTATGCTTTACATCTTCTCCTTTAGCTTTGTATAAGATCTGCAACACACAGGCACAAAATTAAAAAAGCATTACACATTGTGCAAAAAGTGAAATCAATCACACACCAAAGGAGTTATTCTTAGCATAATCTCTCATTTGTTTCTATTGTTAAAAATCATCAAAGGAGCCTGGTGCGGTTGTGTATGCCTGCAGTCCCAGCACTCTGGGAAGCTGAGGCAGGAGGATCATAAATTCAATCCCAGTCTGGGCAATTTAGCAACTCAGCAAGACTCTGTCTGAAAATAAAAAAATTTTAAATGAGGGAAGGTGCTGGGGATATAGCTTAGGAGGAAGGCCCTGGGTTCAACTCCTCGTGCCACCAAAAAAAAAAAAAAATCAAAGACATTTTTCCATTTAAAAAATAAACATCATATTATTTTTAGGAAAACTCAACAATTTTGTATATTAAAATTGAAAAAGGAAAAAGCCCTTAACAAAGTGGAAATCCTTGGCGGCCGGAAATGCAAGAAAAGTAAATTAAAATGCAAAATCCTAACATGACTAACAGAATTCTCCAAAGCAGGATAAGTTTATTCTTTGCCAGTATAGTTAACAGTTCTTAAGTTTTTTGTTATTATTATTTCATTTTTGGCTTTTCATCCCTACAGAGGAAAAGTTAGAATGAGTCTTCTTTTTGTTAAAAAATATTCCAATTAGAATTATATCAATAAAAGTACATAATAATTTCCCCTTCATAGGAAGGTGCTTATACATGAATTCAGCATAATTATAAAGTTTACCATTTCATATTTATCTTATTTTGTCATTTTAAAGAATTACATACACTTTTCACTAAGAGACATTGTGTGATGTGAGATTTTACTTTATGTGAAGAATGGATCTTAGTGCACCCTTCTCTTAATAGAAAATAAATGCATTTTTTAATTACTAAAACCAAGATCCAGAATCACAAGTAGATTTTCAGTCTTTTAATTGCCACTTAGAATATATATCCCCCTTTCTCAAGGATGATTATGTGGAATAGCCTATCTATATCTGTGTGTACACAAGCAAAGTCTAAAATGGTTAGTATCTAAATTATTTCCCAAATACCAAGTAATTTCTAGGAATCTAATTATCTTTAATTCCTCACTGCTTTTAGGAACAATGTCTAAACATTTAAAAAAGCTCATGAACCCTAAACCCTTCCTTCTCTCTCCTTACTGCTGCCTTATCTGAACCCCAACGAAGTCTTCCCTTTGGTGTAATATCCTACCTCACCTTCTGGCCTCCGGTTTCTCAGTTCTCCCATACACTCTCCACACTTTCCTGAGAGTGTTAGCTTTGAAAAGATTAAAAACCTCCCACATCTCCTCTCACCTCCCCCATATCCAGATCCTACAAATTAGTATGAGTCCAATAATGGGGTCACAATCCTGAACTGTTCACTTCCTTCCATTCATTCCTTTACTGTCTTTATGATAGTCCTTTGGCCAGAAATATGCCCTTCTCCTAATTTGCCAAGGAACCTCTGGTCAGCAGTTACCCATTTCCCTTGTGCTTACTTAACTTATGCCTCTCTGCAGTAGTCATCTCTCTATATGCAATGCTCTGTCTGTATCCACACCTCTGTCTTATGTTCTTGTCCTGTATTCTTGGTTTGTTTGGGGGTTTTTTGGTACCGGGGATCGAACTCGGGACCTTCCGCTTGTGAGGCAGGCACCAGAACCACTGGGCTAAATCCCCGGCCCATCTTGTTAATTCCTATATCCTACTAACCCTCCACTATTTTGTCTTTGTGTCATCAGCACATTATATATGGTGCCTGGCACATGGGAGATGTTCAAAAATATTCATTAAATGAATTAATGAGCAAATGTTTTTGGTGTCCTTGTGGCTCTTTTCTATATCAAACTTTCCTTTTGGAAGAAAATGTTTAGCAGATAGAATTCACGAGAGATAAAAAACTGTATGAAAGATAAAAATTTTGACTTTGGACACAGCATATATACTGCTCATATTTAGGCAGGTAAACAACACTAATTGTCACTGAAACAAGTCAAAATGTCACTGTGTATGTTGATTCTAAGAAGCAAAAACATACATGTGTGTATATCATTCCCCTATATTGATATTTTATATATAAAAAGCAAACATAAACAACTCAACATAGAATTAATTACAAACAAAGAACCTGGCACAATAAAGTGTCTGTGATTTAAAGTTAAATTCTGTGTATGTGTGTTTAGTATTAGCACTTTTGGACCAAGTTAAAGCTTATTCAGTAACACATTCTTTTAAAGGTGGTTAAGAGCCAGGCATGGTGGCTCATGCCTGTAATCTCAGCACTCAGGAGGCTGAGCCAGGAGAATCACAGTGAGTTCAAGGCCAGGTTGGGCTACATAGTGAGTTCAAAGCCAGCCTGAACTACCCATCGAGACCTGTCTCAAAAAAAAAGTGGTTAAAAAGGAAAATATGTTTTTAAAAAGATAAAAAATGTTTTTTAAAGGAAAAAATGTTAATGTACAAATTAAAAGTAATTGTAATTTTATTTTTAAATTAATTATATAAAATGACATTTAAAAGGAAAAGATATTGGCTCAGAAGAATTAAAAACGTTGAGCTGATACTGAATTTTTTTGAGAGCTTCCCTTCATTCCCTTTGCCCTCTCTCTTTCACTGTACTCACATCGCTGACTTGCTGAGTGTTCTGCTTTGCCTGGACCATAACAGGGGAGTCCACGATGCTGGTGAACTTGAGGGTGTCTGGGTGCTGCCTGTACTTCTTTTCGTTCAGGGCATCACCCGCCTTCTTGACTTTCTCTGCATCTAGACTGCCAATGGGGATCCAGCCGATGCCCTTCATCCAGGTGTTATAGTCCTCTTTGTAGGCGTTCTGCAGCAATGGGAGAGAGGAGGGGTGAGGGGGCTGGCAGCAGCTCTGACAGGAAAGGCAGTGCCCTTGGGTGGTGTGGGTCACTTACATCACTCTGTATGTGCATCATGTTTTTAGACAGCTCCAGGTCCATAGCGTCAGGCAGATAGGTGTAATGGTGCAGAGAATGCTTGTAGTTGACATCACTGATAACATCCTGTGCTTTCTTGGCTGCCACAACATTGAACATGTCGTGAGGTGTGTTGTATTTGGTCTTCATCTTTTCATAGTCTTTTTTATACTCCCTGTCCGATTGTATTTTGGCCACATTCATATAATGAACCAGTTTAGGATCATCTTGGAGACTTTGGAAGCCAACCATCTTCCCTTTAGCTTTTTCATAATCTTTTTTGTACTGAACCTATTGGAAACAAAGGGGGACATATTTTAAAATGTAATTTTGAAGCTTCAACTTAACAATGAGTCCATGATTGAACTAATTCAGATCCCAGAAATTACTGTGTGTCAATAACCAAACAGATATTCAGTTACTTATACAGTCATCCCTCAGCATTCATACAGGATTGGTTCCAGGACTGCCAGCCCCACCCCAAGGCCCTGCAGACACAAAAATCCATGGATATTCAAGTCCTTTGTATTAAATGGCAGAGTATTTGAATATAACCTATGCACATCTTCTCATATTCTTTATGTCATCTCTAGATTACTTATAATACCTAGTACAATGTAAATGCTATGTAGTGCTTATATATTGTTTAGGGGATAATGACAGAAAAAAAGTCTATACATGTTTAATACAGATAAAAATTTTTTTCAAGTATTTTTGATTTGAGGATATGAAAGGCCAACTGTACTTTGAAATGTAAAATAAAAATGTCATTTAGAATGAATTTAAATGTCTATAGCTACTTCTGTCCACCCAAGAAAGGTTGAGGTGGAAACGTTATCCTAATTCATATCTGCAAGAAAGCAGGTATTCATACTACTCCTTTCAACTGAGACATGGGGAAAGAAAAATGAAAAGATAAGTATTTCACAATCTCTACTGATTACATTGTGCAATTGGAGCTTCAAGTACCTAGCTGTTTGATTAGTCAGAGAATTTTAGTAGTAGTAGAATTTTAATGAGTCCTTAGTTATTGAAAGGGAATTTCAAAGCCAACAGGTGAACACTAATCAGCTCTGAATAACAAAGTGAGGAGAAATTAGCTTCCTTGGGGTGGCCTGAAGGGACCTGGAGACAGAAGCAGAGATGTGAGGGAATATTTGTGGTATATGGGGGAACGGGGTGGCGGCAGAAAAAGAGCCAGAGAGGAAGGGCATCACTGAGAAATTCTGGGTTGGAAGGTTTAGGACAAGGTACTGGTTATTTAATTGTAATGTATTTACACTGGTGCAAATTTAACCTCATATCAATCAGTAATATTTGCTTGGTATGTTCAAGGGAATAAAAAAAAATCAGCTCTTCCATCTCTGGGTCATGCAGCGAAGAAAGAGAAGTAGATTCACCAGGGAAGAGCCCAGGTGAGTTCAAGGAAAACTATTCTGTGCAAACCAAGAGTCACAGAGCTTATGAAATAAAAACCTCACAGGGTTTGCCAGGCTTTGTATAGGACAACAGGTGGGGCTTGAGCCAATTTTATTCAAATCTCAATGCAAAAAAAATCAGTTTTTGGGCTAAACTGAAAGAGGGCAAAAAATAATTTTTTATTGTTTTTGGTGCTGTAGATTGAACACAGGGCCGCATGCATGTTAAGCATGAGCTCTGCTACTGAGCTACACTCTCAGCCTCTTAAAAGCCTGAGCTTTAAGGGAGACTAATGATTACTAGCATCTGTAAAGCTCGATGCCAATTCACCAGTCTCTAGATGTAATGAAGAGAAAAGAGAGGAAAGGGAAAACAGGAAAATCATCCAAACTCAAAAAGCTTTGAGATAAAATTCTCCCATCGGGAGACTATTACGACTTCAATGGTAAATTGCTTCTTCATTTCCCTAAGAGAAGCAGTGTGACTTTGCGCAGGGATTCTAAACTAGGGGCCTTGACGGGACCCATTAGTAGACAGTTAGGCCAATCCTTTCTGCCAAGAAACTTTGGATCTGTTTAGGGACCTTTCTTTCCTGAATAGTTTTCAGCTAGACTTGTTCTCAATCAGGGACACCAGCAGCAGTAACTTGGGGTAACCTGGCAGACACTAAGCCCACCCACGTTTTCTAGTTACGCACGTGACCACAGCTAGCTAGACTTACGTCACTGGCTGCCTGCCTGGCAGCCTTGGCAGCTTTGATGGGAATCGCATCGGTTCTCAGGTCATAGCCCTTCTTGCTCAAGTCTTTCAAATCTGCTTTGTACATGCTCTGGAAGAAAAACATCATTTGACATAGTCCAAGACTACATTAGTGGGGGCTAAACACACACATCAGCCCGAGTCCACACACACCTCACTGATATTATAGGCATTAACTTTAGCCTGAATGAATTGTGGCAGGTCTGCTGGCAGGCTGTATTTGTGCAGAATTTCCTCTCCTTTGGCTTTGTAAGCGATCTAGAAAAGAAAAATGTATACACAAATAAAGTAGAGAGAAACAATTAATGGTACAGGAAAATAATTTCAGAGGGGATCATATCGAACAGCGGTGGTTTCAGGAATGACACTATACTGTCCACATTCGTCTGTACATATCTGTAGGGACTCAGGGGCACATGTGCAGTCACATAAAATCCTATCTTAGTGCCAGCTCAGTCTTGGCAAAGATCCCTTGGTGTATGCTAGAACCTCTGGACCTACATAGGGGAACCTGGTGGAACTCAGCCCAGGGAGGTGACCCAATAAAAATGTTAACCTGCAGACACTTTCACGAGCATAGGAAAGGGTAATAGGATGGAGACATGAAACAGCTATGTTACATTTTGTGGATAATGAAAGGGACATAGGGGTGGTTTTACTATACATGATTTTTGCCCTCACTTTGACTTAAATGTAACTCCTTTATTGGTTGTAGTGTCTATATTCATTCCTCTGGTCATTTCTCGAGATAGCCAGTGGAGTGTACATAATACCCAAAAGATATGAATAAGGTGTGCTTAAATGAACAGCAGTAGAAATATGCAGTTGTTCATGTCAAGGGAGACTTTTAGATTGCACAACAGTTACAGGTGGCCAGTGAATTTGAAATACAAATTATGTTTGGATCAGTTAACATTTATTAAAGTAGAGATAGGAACTTACATCACTTCTCTGCGCCTGGTTAATTTTAGACTGTACTGTAATAGGAGCATCTTCAATTGAGGTAAACTTGAGTGTGTCCGGATGTTGGCGATACTTTTTCTGTTTGGTGAATCAAAAAGAAAGATTATATTACTTGTCACTGAAGGCTAACATATTGAAATCCTTAAAATTTGTCTTGGAGACATAAGGAAGATATTTTTTTCTAATTTTATAATGTAAAAATACTAGAGTCTTGATTGGTTTGGGTGAAAAATGAATATATCACAAAAGTCAATGTTTAAAATAATCTAGTTATGGATTATTTGGGAGCACAGACCAATACAACTCTCAGGAACCAGATTTAAATTACTGCCTCAATTTCTTGCTTATCACGTGAAAAACTAAGCAGGATCCAGAAACATCACAGAATTCTTTAAAGAATTAACAGGAAAGCAAGCAAGGAGATTTCCGGTATCTCTGCACCACACTAACAAGTTATTAGGACCATCATTTCCCTGTCACTCTGTCAGCACTGGAGTAAGAAGCTACCCTTATTCCTAGATTTTTCTCCATTTTTCCCAATCCTTATCCCTTGTATTCGATATCTCACCTTTGCATAATAATAACATTGCTTTTTTAACTTCAATCTTCTGAAAACCACCAATCCACAAAACCTTTTTCTGAAAGATTTCCAAGTAGGCAAAACTGTTTTCACCAAAAATAAAAGTATCATGCAATAAGAATAATAAAGACGAGTCTCACTCAGCCCGTGGCATCCTGCAGTCACCCTCTAAGATGATGCAGTCACCTGACAACAGTGAGTTTTCCGCAGATGTCAGAAAAGGGACAGCCTTGCTGCTATAAGAGCCTCAACACCATCATCATATTTTCTTAGACTAACTAGTAATTTATATACTACCTCAGAATCATCAAGAATATAACATATGGTAAATTCTTCAAAGAAGATTTCTGTAACAGCTCCATTACTCATAATCACCCCAAATTGGAAACAACCCATCCATCCACCAACTGGTGAGAAGGCCACCAACATGTGGTATATCTATCTTCACAAAGGAATCTCACTCAACTTTTTTTAAAAAAAAGAATGAATTATAGACACAGGAAGAAACAGATTACCTCGAAAACATTATAAGAAGCAAAAGAAGCCAGATCAAAAAGAAATTTATAGAAAAGACAACCCTATAGATAGAAAGCACATCAGCAGTTGGTCTGAGGATGACAGCAGAAATGGGGGTGGGGGATACTAGTCACATGTTAAAATTCATTCGTGGGCCGGGGATTTAGCTCAGTGGCTTCATGCCTGCCTCCCGAGCGTGACAAGGTCCTGAGATTGATCCCTGGTACCAAAAAGAAAAAGGAAAAAAGCCTTAAAATTCAAATGTGGCCATGATTGTAAAATTACATGAATTTACTAAAATCTGTTAAGCTGTACACTTAAAATAGGTGTTTTATGGCATGTAAATTATTCCTTAATAAAGCTGTTAAAATATTTCTACTATGAATGGTTAACATGATCTATCTGGGTAATATAAAGGACTCTGTTGATCCACCTGGATAGATAACTCACACTTGCGGTTAAATATCTTTTTTCTTCAGCAACCACGACCAGACAATGAAACAGAAAGGAGACACTTCCCATGGTTTTGAGAGTTTTAAATGACACCGTCACAAACCTCTCTCTGACACACCCAGGAGCTTTACCTCATTAAGGATGTCGGCAGCTCGCTTTGCCTTTTCCATTTCTAGGGACCCGAAAGGCACCCAGCCACAGCCTTTCATCCAGCTGTTGTAGTCAGCTTTGTATTCAACCTGAAACGCCGAAAGAAAAGTTACCTTTCTGGCTCAGTGCTATTCTTATTATGTAACATCATTAACATTTCACCCAAATGCTTTTAAGATTTTTGGGCAGCTTCATTATTCCATATATGAAGATTATTTTATGCATTTCTTTGGTGAGAGATTCTAATAGTCCTTAGATTTTTGCTTTATTTTTTCTAACTAGCCTATATTTCATTTTATCCTTACTTCCACTTAATGGAAGTATGTGGAATTCTAACTCCAATGTGGAAAATCCCCAATTCAAAGCTCTGTTTCAGCCCATTGTGGTGGCACCTGTCTATAATCCCAACTTGGGAGGCTGAGGCAGAAAGATCCTGAGTTGGAGGCCAATCTGGGTTACATAGCAAGTTTGAAACCAGCCTGAGCTATATAATGTGACCCCATCTTTAAAAAAAAGCTATATTTCAAAGAATAAATGAAACTATTGTATTTAGACCATCAAATGTAAGATGTTTGCCTGGAACTTTACATATTATGCTTCTATTGTCAAATTAGGCCTAAAGGTCACATTGAAGGTGGGTAATTTTGTCCATTTTCTAATTAGATAAGACTTGATAGTAGCTATTTGTCCCATGTGTGTTCACACATTGTACTTCATATGCACTGTCCAGCATAAGAGTGTTTCTCTAACACACAGGGTGTTTGGCTAACAAAACACTTTGAAATAGTTGCACTCATTAATTTGCTTAAGGAAGCAGTTTTATTTGGGGAACAGTTACTTGATACTATTAAAAGAATGCACCACTTTGGTTGTCTAGCCATAGATAATACCTAAAACATATTCAAGATACAAAATTCACATTGTCCTTCAGTGTGGGCCTCTTAACTAGAATTAAAAAAATTAAGAATATATTTCATGTCTTCTCTTGAATGGCTTAAAATCTATTTGACATGAAGAAACACAGAAAAATTAAGTAACAAATAAGATACTAGTATGTATAATAGAGTTGTTAGTGGTAGGAGTGTAAAACTGTTTAGCCAGTAGGGAAAATAGTATGGTGGTTCCTCAAAAAATTAAAAATGAAACTACTATATGATCCAAATTGAAATATAAAACATGTCATCTAACAATTCAACTTCTGGAAATATATCTAAAAAATTTAAAAGCAAGATCTTAAAAAAGACTTTCATACACTCATAGTCATAGCAACATTATTCTCATAGTGAAAAGGTCAAAGTAACCTAAATATCCACCACCAGATAAATGGCCAAACAAAATGTGGTACAGTATATACATATAAAGGAATATTATTTAGCCATAAAAAGGAAGGGAATTATGACCAAAGCTACAACATGGACGGACCTTAAGGACATTATGCTAATTGAAATAAGCCAGTCACAAAAGACAAACACTATGATTCCATATAAGTGAGATACTTACAGTAGACAATTCATAGAATTAGAGAGTGAAATTGTGGTTGCCAAGGGTTTAGGGGGAGTTTTGTCTAGTAGATATATAGTTTCAGTTTTGCGACACAAAATTCTAAACATTGGTTGGACAACAACATGAAACTATACTTAACACTGCTGGACTATACACTTAAAAATGCCAAAGGTGGCAAATTTTATATTATGTATATTTTACCACATTTAAAATTAGAATTGTTAGAATAAAGTATTTAATTCTGTAGCTCAGATAAATTAATTTGCCTAAAGAAGTTTTGATCTGCAGAAAAAACTCACTTCTAAAAGGGATGCAGAAAATGACTTAGGATATTCCCTTTTCAGGCAAAATAATAATTTATATAAAAATTATTGATAATGATGAATGGGATGATCACGATAATGGTGGTGATAACAATAATGAATATTTACTGAGGACCTGACTGGTACTGTGCAAACTTGGCCTGCATTTAAATCCTTAAAACAATTCTTTTGTTTTATTCCAATTTATCAGCAAGGCTACTCCAGCAAGGTTGCTAAGTTTCCCAAAAGGAAGCACAAATGGAGTCCAGACCAAGTCCAAGTGTCCCTAAGCCTCAAGGCTGTGTTCCTACAGAACTACAAGAGTAACTTCCCCTTACCTACTTGTGGATGCACCAAGGACAACACAGATGCCTCTGGGAAGGGCCAAAAACAATGCTCCATTGAGAAACTTGGTTTCCACAGTCAAAAGAGGGGCTGGAGAAAGCCTGGCTACTCACGTCACTCTGCAGTGCATATGCCTTCTTGGCGAGGTCCATGTTGACACTATCCGGCGGGTAGCTGTAGTTGTGTAAGATGTGTCTGTAGTCCACATCACTGGCAATCTCTTGAGATTTCTTAGCTTGAGTGACTTGGAGCATATCAAGAGGTGCTGTGTAGACAGTTTTTGACTTCTCATAGTCTTTACGATATTCACGCTGTAAATAGGAAATGACCACTTATTACCACAAATCCTTAATGGATTTCCAGAAAAGTACAGTAAATACCATTTGGAGAAACAGATACAAACACCTGAGTAGTTATTTTGCCCCCAAATTTGGCCATTTGTCAAAATGCCCCAGAAAATCATACATGGAAGAATCTTTTCAAATACTTTCTGGATCAAAGGCAACCGTCAGAGAGTTGCAGCAGACATCAGGAAAGGGCCACAGCTTCTTCATGGTTTCTCGAGGACCAGTATCAAGTATTATTGCTATTACTATAATCTAACCTTTGAAGAGTTTTCCCATCGAGAAGCATTTTTTCAATCAATGAAAATCACACGACAATAATTTCATACCTCTGATTTTATAAAATATCTACTTCATAAATAGGATTGTAGCCCCCTTGCTTTCTAGAGTCAGTTTTAAATGGATAGTCATGATTTTTCAGCCTGGATGTTACATTCTTTTTTTTTTTTTTTGTACTGGGGATCGAACTCGGTCCCCTGCACTTCCAAAGCAGCCAGTGGAACCACTGAGCTAAATCCCCAGCCCTGGATGTTATATTCTTGACAGTAGAAAAACCCCATGGAGAAGAGCAAAGGTTTTTTTCACACCAAGTTTAATTTTGGTAATAATTTTTAAAAAGCTTCAGATTGCAGCAGCTATGAGATCTCAGAGAAGTTTGTGAAACTGGGCCATTAGTGTAACCCTGATGCTCAGCCACAGTGTTCTCATAAACCAAATGTCCTGGCTGGGCCTTAGGAGACACCTTCATTGGTGGTTTTCTGGACTGTAGGACAGGGTGCTAAGTAGGTCAGATTCCAGCTTCATCCTATCCACTCCCCAATTACCTTAGCAGAAAAATTCTGACCCACTGCTTTTAGAGAAATTATCCCACCCTATCTAACTATAATCATCTGTTAAAGACAGTGACTTAAGCTAGCAAGAACAGGAGTGCATTATAAATCTTCAGCAATTTCTTTCACAAATGATCTGATTCTTTTTGCCTTAAGGAATTTGATGTTCCTCCTCATAATTTGTGGGTAGCCATTTTTGCTGAATAAATCTATAACTTAATTGTAGAATCTAGACTCTGGATTATGAAAATAAAATACAGAAATTTATTATGGTACACAAGAAGATTTTAAAAATAGCTATTTTTTTATGAGAATGAGATTGATAAAGCAATGTCACAAAAGTAGTTGGTATGTGGAAGTGTTCTTTACTAAATTATTTTAACTCATGTAGAATTTGTCCATGTTCACACTAGCTGATACATACCAATGCACATACAATATTAACCAAATTCTTTTCTATGCTTGCAACTCAGAATATAGCCTGTATGTTATGTATTACTATTTCTTTCAGGTGTCAACATCAATCAATTAGCAAATATTCATTGATATATTTTGTGCCTATTGTTCTAATGCATTCAGTTACAGAATGAAAAGCAAATGATAAAGATACATGTGATATGAAAAGGGAGCTACAATCTTTTTGAGTTTAGAAAGCATCAGGAACTGGGGAACAGAGTGTTACATATGTGAGCTCTGTATACTGACATAACACAGAAGGATGTCTAAATCATAGTACAAATAAAAATTTTAAAATTCTAAATTAACATCAAAGTAAATGACATAAACATCCTTCTTCATCACGAAAAACTAATATGTGTAAGCTATGTTGAACATTGTTATCACTCTTAAGGGGTTCTTTAAATTTTTTATAAGCACATTATATACTGTAATTTGCAATAGCGCATATTTGCCTCTCTATAGTAAAAATTGTAACTAGAAAATGCTAGATACATATTTTTTTAAAAATCCATGAATTCCCTGAAATTCAGGCAAAGAACCTGAAAGGACAATTTTCTTTTACTAGATAGGTAGTCCAATGTTTTAATCATATTCTCAAGGGACCTATATAATTAATGAAGTATTTTTCTTAGGTTTATACCAGTACTAATTACTAAAGATAAAAAAAATTGATAGCTATACTCAGATTTTACGTTTATAATTCTTGATTTTCTTCTAAGGTAAACACAGTTTTAGAATCACTTTAAATACTATTTTTCAATGAGAAGATAGTGTTATTTTCCAAGGAATTTAAGAGCTACAATTGATTTTCTATTAAATATTAATGTAGGTACTTTACAGAGCACAATGGATATAAAAGTATCAGTAAGTAATTTCTATCCTCAAATGTGAGACGGGCAAGGGTGTGGCAAGCCATTCTACTTCTAAGCGTCTTTCCAACAGTACTTTTGTGACTATAAAGAGCCCATGGGTATGAAATCCTTTTACATGCCACTCCCAGCCAGCATGTAAGCAGGGAAAACAAGATGAACACTCACATCACTCTGGTTTTTGGCTGTCTTCAAAGAGTGCAGCATCTTGGGATCATCATTAATGCTGAGGGCGCCAATCATCTTCCCTTTGCTCTTTTCATAGTCTTTCTTGTACATCACCTGCAAAGACACCACACACACTGGACCCCACTCAGCAGGGAACCTCCCCCCAAGGCCACCCTGTCTGAAGCCAAGGGCCATGCTCACGTCGCTAGCATTCCTGCTGTTGGCCTTGGCTGCCAGCAGGGGAATGGCGTCCACTTTGATGTCAAACTTCTTAGCTTTGCTCTTCTCCCAGTCTTGCTTATACACATTCTAGACAGAAAAATTGCACCAAAGGAATTACAGAAAACACTGAACACAGATTAATTGAGTAAACACAAAGAAGCATAAAACAATCCACATATACAGATGTATTTCACCTATAAAAACATTATTTACCAAATCCTAGTGTAACTATTGGTTTATCTATCATCTAATTTCTTCCTCCCTACCACTAAACAAGTCCCATATACTCTTTTTAATGTTCTGGGAATCTTCTAAACACTGTTATCTGGTATACAAAGAAAACATAAAATGGCAACCACTTAGAGAAGTTAAAATGTGATATTTACATGGGAGAGATTTTCAAAGCCTCTGGAGATTTTCAGAAAGGTAAATGAAAGAATGCTTCTGACAACAACAGAAGTTGTGGAAAGTGAAATCTGTGAGCTGAGCAAGAGTCCTAGAAGCAAGTGGGTCCTAAAAGCTCTACTTACACATAGGCAACAATCTCAATAATTGTTTAGTTACATAACTCCTTTTTGTTTGTTTGTTTTGGGGTTTTTTTGGTACCAGGGATCGAACTCGGGTCCTTGCGCCTGCTAGGCAAGCGACGGAACCACTGAGCTAAATCCCTGGCCCACATAACTCCTTTTTAAAGAAACACCCAGAACATTTCCTCTTTTCATGCGCCTCAAACAGGCTGCAGTGGCTTTGGTACTTACGTCACTCAGGTTGTAGGCATTGACTCTGTGTTGGATGAACTGTGCAGCATCCGCAGGCACATTGCACTTGAACTTCTCACTTTCATGTTTTGCTTTGTAATTCAGCTGAAAAACAATAGAGGATATTGCTATGGACCAAACGTGTCCCTCAAGTTTCATGTTTTGGAAACCTAATCCCTAAAGTTAGGTGTCAATAGTATGTGACAGGTGGGACCTATGGAAGTGATTGGTCACAGGGCTCTGTCCTGATGAATGAATGGGTCAATCAATCGTGGATGAATGAGTGGCAATGTTATAAAAGTTAGCTCTCTGGCTAGCTTAATCTCTGTCTCACCATGTGTCTTCACCTCTATTCTCTATAAATTACTTGGTCTTGGCCATTCTGTTACAGCAACAGGAAATGGACTAAGATATCCAAGCGAGTCAGGATGGGCATTCCTTTGAGTTTATGTATGACATTCTGCAATTAGAGCAGTAATAAAACCAACAGCAGTTTTCAATAAAATATTAACATCCTTAAAAAGATATATAAATTTTTATTTAAAAAATTAAACACAGAACTTTAAAAATTTTTAAAGATGATGAAGGAAGTGTAAAGAGGAATGAGGCTGATGAATTTTGGAGCTAAAGGCAAATGCACAACACTGAGGAGAACTGTGCACTAAGTACCTCCAAGACAGAGCTTGTTGTATAACCAGTGCAACAAGAACAATGTTGGTGATTGGACACCATATAGAGCATGGTATTCATCTGCAGTTGGCTGAGATCAACTTGGTCAATATAGCTAGGGCCTAGCTGTTCTTCACTGGATCACAAAATATGCTAGGAAAAGTTGCATTTGAACTGGTATGGCTTCTAAGTGACACTGATGCAATTAACCTCTTATCTGATTTTACATGAGCCAATTTATGTGACTAAAACAGATTTCATAGTAGGATGAACTGTGTCTTTCCTTTTCCTATCTTGAGAGGGTGTGCTATACTTCAGGACTTTAGCTACATTAGTACTTTGCTGCTTACCGTGTGGCCTATCAATAAGAGCAACAGCAGTAGCACGTAGCAGCTTATTTGAGAATCAGAATATATAATTCCCCCAGAACTTCAGCATCAAAATCCACATTGCAACAGCGTCACCAGGTGATCGCATGAATGTGAATGCTTGAGAAACTCATTGCTCTTTCTGTGACCCTGGTGTGATTGCAACATTCCTGCTTTTGACTTTCACTGACCATTCCTGTGAAATGCCCATCCTGGCACTTTCTGCAACATCATCCTATTTCAATTCTGCAGCATCATTCTCTATGTTTCCTTTTTTGCTCCCCTAAGTATTTGTTGTTAGTGTGCTCTCTTTCTTTCTGTAACATCTTTTTTAGCAAGCACAAGAGTAGGAATGTTTGCCTGTTACCTGCCTGAATGGATGCCTTTGTTGGCACTGTTTAAACTGATGTGAAGTTTTAGTGTGCATGTGACAGATCCTATTAAGGTATGCCTATTAAAAATCAGTGAGTTATTGTTGTTGTTATCTAACACAGGTTTCTTCAGGGTACAATTCATCTCGTACTTTCATTTGCATTCTATTAGACAAATTCTGAAAAATGACCTTACAGGGATGGAAGATGAGTCCATGAAGATGAAGCATGTAAATGCTAACATTTTTAATAAGTCACACACTCCAGGCCACCTACATTTACATAAATCAAGACACTTACATCACTGAGCTGCTTGGTATTGAGCTGTGCTTGCAATAGTACAGGAGAATCAGTCACTGCTGTGAATTTAGTCTTATCCGGATGAACTTTGTAGGTATGCTAGAAAAGAAGATGCCCTTTAATAAAATTTTACAGTGTATCTTTATATGTACACTAATGTATAAAAAGGTCCCCGCCAAAACTGTGCACGTTTTGCTCCAGAAAACTTGATTGGTATGCTCTTACCACCTCTCTTTCTCCTTCCTTTCTTTCCTGAACTTACCTCTGGTTTTGCTACTGCAGCTCACCCACTAGGTTTATCTTCCCAGTGCTGGGGCGCTACGATGGCTCCCCACTGTACTTGACATTCAACTGAAACTGGACTTTGGTTTGTAAGTCCTGCAGAATCCACCCTCCTTTATCTCCTACTACTTTACCTCTTACTATTCTCCCCTCCCCCAGTATACCTCAGCCACCTCACTCTTTCAATTCCTCCTCCTCTCCTTAGGCTGTTTGTCCTGTATCTATACTCCTGCTCTCGGTGTGGCTGGACATTCCTGTCTCAGACTTTCTTTTTCTCCCAATTTAAGGTGCCCATGCAATCACTGTCTCTCTCACATCATCCTATTTTAATTCTGTATCCTGACTCTATTTTAGTTTTATTGTCATTGCCTGCTATCTTTCTCGTTTCTGTGCTCTCTTCCTTTGTTTATTGTCTGTGTCTGCCATGCCAATGGACGCTCCAGGAGGGCAGCTTACCTGGTTCCCCATTCTTTCCCAGCACCGAGGACACAGCCTGGTTCATGCTTGCTACCTACCACCTCCTGTAAATGTGCTGAGTGATGAAAACCCATTTCTCACAAATCTACATGTCCTCCTTTTGCCCTGATTTCACGTACACATAAACTAAGAAAAACACGTTTGTGAGACTCAAAATTATTTCACAATTAAGAGATTTCTTAACAATAAATTTTGTATTCACCAATTCCATCCAATCAGCAAAACTTAAAATTTAACATTTGCTAAGCATTACGTGCTAGAGTCGCTTTGAACTCCTGCTAGATTTACCACTTGATGTCTCAAGAATCCCAAACCCAATTTCAAGAATTAGGGGCAGCTGGCTTACATCTTTACACTGGTCTAGCTTCTTGATTGCTTCGTATTCTTGTGTTATTGTCTGAGGGAAATAGCATTTCCCTCTATCTTCTTCATATTCTGCTTTGTAACTTTTCTATAATGAGAAAGAACAAAAATAGATCAAGATTGCTATTGTTCTGAAACAACGTCTTTCTGAGGCATGAGTAACTGTCTTCACACTTACGTCGCTGTTTTGAGCAGAAACTTGCATGCAATGTGTATGATATGGGTCCTCAAAGCTGCCTACATAATGCCCCAAAATGTTCTTTACATATGAATCTTTATATTTAGCCTAAAAAAAGAAAACACATGTAATTCAAGGTATCTGCCAAGCAACAGGAAAGCCTTCCCTCCCTAGAGTGGCCACGGCCTTCCTAACCTCACTGAAGTTCTTCAGCAGAGTGTCAAGTTGATATTTAGGGGTCTCACAGTAGTTCACGCTCTTTGCCTTTGATTTCTCATAATTTTCCTTGTATAGCCTCTGTCAAAGAAAAAAAGAAATTTAAACAAAGCAAATTGTCTCATGAAATTAAAGCCATTCATGTCACTGCTGCGCTTTAACCAATGGAACAAAATTTGCATTTTTCTCTGCCTCTATTTTCTACATGCAGAAGAGAAGAATAGATAAGCTTCAGGCTCATGTGCTATACTGACCATAAGTATGTTTCTATTGCTTGGCCTCATATTTATCAGACTGAATAAATTAAAGCACACCACTGCTGCTATTCAAGCAAATTTCTGTCTTAAAATGGTCTGCTCCATTTGAATGAGTTTGGAGGAAAATTAATTTTTTTAAAAGTTGGTTCAAAAGGCTTGAGTTACAAGGTAGACGTTAGATAATTACTTAGGCACAGTTCTAGAAAAGCAATCAATTGAACACTTGATGTAAGATTTCATCACCCTTCTGGAAGTTGGCTTTTAATAATTAAGATCTATGTTTTTTTTTTTTTTTGGTTTTGGGGATCGAACTCGGGACCCTGTGCTTGTGAGGCAGTACTATTTTTCTTTATAGCACCAATACATGAAAACATAGTTTTATTTTTTAATATCTGTATTATATATTTCTTCACATTTCCTTTAATATTCTCATATAGAAATAAAAAATATACTCAATACAGACAAGAATATTTGTAAATCATGTGGAAGAGAGCGAGAATTTCTTGCTAAGAATTAGAACAGCAATGTTGGTAAGAAGCTTTATTTGTAGTACTTTATAGTCTTCAAAATGAGATCAATATTTTATAAAATTCTTAAAGTAAAATACTTTGATTTTGAGCCTATGCTTTGTCTAGTTTTTTCTACCACTTTTGTCTTTAAAATGAATTTCTCACTTCTTGCCTTTTATTTTTCTTCATATGTCTTTGCAAATGACATTAATTAATTCAGGGCATTACATGAACACATACGTGCCCATGTACCACACATATTCATGCCTCTTAAAAGATAGAGCCATTTTTAGGAAGAGTAATAAGGAAGACGATATTGCTAGTATAGGTTTCCTCCTAATGACGCAAACAACATTAAGGAGATTATGGGAACTTTTGCAAAATTCACTGTCATCTCAAAATACAGACATATCAGTAGGAATGAGGAACTCCATCTTCTCTAATCATCTGGTCTTTCACATTTGATTTGTCATCTGAGACCTCACCTAGGATAACAGCCAATCCAAGGTTATGTCAGACAACATCTGAGAGTAAGAGCGATTTACAGAACACTCACATCACTCTGGTTTTTGGCTGTCTTCAAAGAGTGCAGCATCTTGGGATCATCATTAATGCTGAGGGCGCCAATCATCTTCCCTTTGCTCTTTTCATAGTCTTTCTTGTACATCACCTGCAAAGACACCACACACACTGGACCCCACTCAGCAGGGAACCTCCCCCCAAGGCCACCCTGTCTGAAGCCAAGGGCCATGCTCACGTCGCTAGCATTCCTGCTGTTGGCCTTGGCTGCCAGCAGGGGAATGGCGTCCACTTTGATGTCAAACTTCTTAGCTTTGCTCTTCTCCCAGTCTTGCTTATACACATTCTAGACAGAAAAATTGCACCAAGAGAATCACCAAAAGTGACATTCATGTCATCACATTTGAAGACTTAATGGCAACAAATTATCTTGCCTTAATGTAGAACAAATGGTCCCTTTTCATTATATCAGGAATTATGCATATTTTAAGTAATTCTCTTTAAGCAAGAGCTTCTAGTTCTGCAAGATCAGGCTTCTGTACTTTCCACTGCAATCTTTCATCACTTAAGTTAATTCTAGTTTTCATTCTAATGTTTGATTCCTAACACTGAATATGCTTTATACATTAGTACAGACATTCTATAGTTAACTGACTTCTAATGACATAAAGGCATCATTTTCATTTGATCTGTAAATCTTCTGCAAAGTTTATTTCATGAATCATTATAATCCACAATGATGCTAGATAGTCTTAGTACTCATTTGTAGAATTGTTGAAGAAATTAGGACATCCAAGGGTGTTTTTTTAATACACTTTTTTTCGATAAAATTGAGTTTGAAAAATCAAAGTTGATCAGGGAAACCTGATCTTCTGCCCTTTATTCTCATTACTGTAAGTCCTCTTATATGTAGAAGTAAGCATAATTTGTGTGAAATAAAGACATTATAGGCCTGGGGAATAAATGTAATAAAATTACATCTAAAAATAACCAGGCCCTAAAAATGAATCATGGCATGGTTTGTATGAAAGTATGGCTAAAAGATCTAACGTTAAGAACTCCAGTTAAGGGCCGGCTATTTAGCTCAGTGGTTCCGCTGCCTGCCAGGGAAGCACAAGGTCCCAAATTTGATCCCCAGTACCAATAAGAAAAGAGAGAGAATTCCAATTAAGAGGGCTAGGCACAGTGAGTGGCACGTGGTCCCAGCAGGCTGAGGTGAGCATGTTACTTGAGCCCAGGAGTTCAGGACCAGTCTGAGCAACATAGAAACCTCATTCCAAAAAAAACCCACTAAAAATACAACTGCTATTAACCAATACATGAGTAATGGTATTTTGAGGGTTGGTTAAAACATGCTAAGATTGTTTAAGTGAAAAACTACTTATAAGATTGCAACATATTTTACAAGGTGAATCCCATGTTACACTGGCGGAGACACAGGACTATGACACAAATGTTCACAGTTCTTCCATCTTTACATTTAAATGCACACTGAATTGTAATGAGTCATTATATGACACGGCGCAGTGTGTGAGAAACTTACGTCACTCAGGTTATGAGCATTGACTTTGTGCTGGATGAAGGCAGGAGTGTCAGCAGGTATATGGGACTTGAACTTTTCATCTTCGTGTTTTGCTTTGTAATTTAGCTGAGAGAGAGGGAGACAGAGAGAGAGGGAGAGAGGTTGGAGGAGGGCAAAGAGAAAGAGAACCAATTACTTCAGAAGAAAGAATTTTTCCAGAATATAAAAACTTCTCTCGTGTGATATATTTTGTGAAGTAACTGACAAAGTTGCTAAGATCAAAAAAGAAATTCAAGCCAAGCATGGTGGTGCTCGCCAGTAATCCCAGCACTGGGGAGGCTGAGGCAGGAGGATCCCTGCCAGTTTGAGGCCAGCTTGGACTGCACAGTCCATTCTACTAAACTACTTCAGCCCAAACTACTTAGCCAGATCCTGTCCTGGAAAACCAAGGAAGTAAAACAAACAAACAGCAACAAAAACAACTAAACAAAAGAGAGATGCAGAGGTTAGGTAGGACACCCCGCATTACTGAACTTGTGTGCTGGATCCTGTAAAGTTGTTACACATCTGTCACCATGGCAGGAACCTAACAGAGCCAGAAGTGGCTCTCTCACCTTTATGCATATTGCAGCTGGCCCTGAGAGTCTGCGGCACACAGCCTGCTTTTCTTTTTATTGTCACTGTTAACCTACAGGTGAAGCGTTTCTATAGCTATCGCACACACATCATGGTTGTGGATGCTCTACTTGAAGCTTTCATTTCTGGCCATAAATCTATAAAATTTTTATTTTTATCCATTTAATTCAATATAAATTTTGAAATTCACACATAAAATTTATATGAAAGAACTTGTCCCAATGTCTCTATTTTCCCAAAACTTTATTGGGAGAGAGAAATCTCATGTGTTGAATATCTCATCTGAACCATGGTGTGTGGTATGCACACATCTACTGCATTTCATTTTCAAAACAGCCACAAATTACAAAAAGGAAATACTTGACACAGAGAGGTTAAATAGTTTTGGTCAGTTATCCATAAATGACAGAACTGGAAGTTTTGTCTGATTCTAGAACTCATATTCTTTTCAATGCTTTAAACTATTTTAGTTTCCTTCAAAGAAAATTTTTCCCCAAAGTGCTACCTGCCTAATAAGATTCAAAGAAACCAAATGGAAAAATATTTTAGGTGATTACAAGACTTAAAAGTTCAACTTACTATAACTTACATTTTTATAAATGTAATAAAAAATTGTATGTTTTGGGCTGGGGAAGTAGCTCAGTGGTAGAGCACTTGTCTAGCAAGCAGGAGGTCCTGGATTCCATCCCAGCCCCACAAAAAAGAAACAAAATTGGATTTCCTGGGTATTCTGAGAAACTTACATCGCTTAGTTGTTTGGAATTGACCTGGGCTTGTACCAGAACAGGAGAGTCGGTCACTTGAGTGAATTTTGTCTTAGATGGATGGACTTTGTAGGTATGCTGAGAGAGGAAGGAGTTTGGTTTAGCAGTTGCTGTCAAATCCAAAGTGGCCTTTGAGCCAAGCAAGCACAACACCAACCCCCTCAAACAAATGAAACTGGTAGTTAATAAAACACCTATGGTCTTTAAAATTAAATAAATTTTTAAAATTAAAAAAAAATAAAACACCTATGAGATATGCTCTCATAACTGTATGAGAAATTTTCCCATGTCTTCAAATTTCCAGTAACTCTTTAAGAAAATAAACTAGAATTAGCACTTGAAATATGGAGGTGCCAAGTACATCTACCACAAAATAAATTTTATTTCTTACAATTTCCTTGCTTGTGTTTATTTGAAAATATCATAATTTTAAATATATCTTGACCACTAGACATTACAGAGAGCAGTAACATTTGGAGTTATTACTACAGACTTACGTCTTTACATTGATCTAGTTTCTTGATTGCTTCATATTCCTGAGTTATGGTCTGAGGGAAGAAGCCTTTGCCTCTGTCCTCTTCATATTCTGCTTTGTAGTTTTTCTATGAGGAGAAACATATCCAATGTATGGATGCAACCATTATATTCATGCCCCTAAAATCTATTATTTTGGAAGTCAAACAATTGTCTCAGAACTTACATCACTGTTTTGAGCTGTGACTTTCATGCAGTGCGAATGATACGGATCTTCAAAACTGCCTACATAGTGTCCCAAAATATTCTTTAAGTAGGAATCTTTATATTTGGTCTGCAAGGCAAAATATATTTCATTTATTCTTTGATTAAATTATTTATTAAATGACAGGTCTTTTTTAACAGAAAGGGTGATGGCAGGATTGCTTACATCACTACTGAAGTTCTGCAAAGCTGCATCAAGCTTAAATTTGGGGGTCTCACAGTAATTTATGCTCTTTGCCTTTGTCTTTTCATAGTTTTCCTTGTATAGTTTCTGTCAAAGAAGAAAAATCAGTTAAAGTAGATTCCTGTCACTTCCACACTGATTGTAACAGTTGTGTTTTTTCAGCACAAAACAAAAGATATTACCTGTCAACTGTCTTAAAAACTGATAATCAAAAAATAAAAATTAAAAAAAAAATTTAAAAAAACCTGACAATCAAACATAAAGTGTCATAAATTGTGAGCTTTTTCTATTAACAACTATTACAAAGTGTAAGTGTTTAACATTTTCAAAAAGTTAAAAAACTGATATGCCACTTCTGACCAAGCCCTTCACTGGAAAAATCTCATGTATTTCTCAGTTACTTTGTCTCTCTAAACACACTTCCCTCACTAAGGCCACAGTAAACAAGGCAATCAAGAAACAGCAGCTTGCCTGATTAAAAAACAAACCATGAAACAATTAATATAAGTTGAGAAATGCCTAATCACTCTTCTACCCTGTAACAAGGCAGGGAGACTTCTATTATACAATTTTCCTGAAAAATAAGGCCTATATGAGAATTCAAGCTATGAGTCATTCCTAACTCTTCTTCTCTGATAAGATTTATCTTTAGCTTGAATAACATGAATCAATTATTGGTTTTATGTGTGCAGCTGAGAAAGCAGATCATTGCCATTTTTTCATGTTGAGTTTTCAAAATTTAAATGATTCTATTCATTTTCAATGTCTATAATCCTGTTTTCACCAACAAAGTAGATTAAAACCTGGGATTTTATATGTTTGATAAAGATGTCCTTCATTTAGAAAGCAGAAGGGCTTTGCATTGATTTCCCAGCAGAGCTATTTAGACAGATCCATTTACACCTGCTGATGGGCCACATCACCTACCCACTCCCAAATCACATGCACACATTTCCTATGGTGCTGACTTAATTCCAGGGTAAAGAAAATATGACTAACCCACTCAGAAAACTGCAGTCTTCAACTATTAAGTAAGTTTAATACAATCTAACCATAAGGAAAATCCTCAAGTAATCACCTATTCAGTCTGTGTGTGCACGGTTATACATGTGTGTGTTTATACAATCTCATTTGTTTTGGCCCATTAGTCTTTTGGGGGGGGGTACCAGGGATCAAACTCGGGTCCTTGCGCTTGCACAGCAGGTGGCGAAACCACTGAGCTAAATCGCCGGCTTAGTCTTTTAATGCCAGGCTAAGGCTTATTTACCCAATCTATTTTACATCTAATGGCTTAGTCAGGAACTTAGCCATTCCACAAGTAGAAAGTAACCTGTGAAGATGTAGGGAACCATCTTTTAAGTTCTATGGTCTGCAAATGATGTTTTCTGGGGCTAAGATCTGTATTTGATCCTCTGCTTTGGTCAGAATCACAGCACATGTACAATGTGCTCTTTGAACACCACACAGAGGCCCAGATGCCCAGAGCTTATAAACAGATGAGGTTTTTCCTCCCCATGAAACTAAATCCAGAAGCCTAGAAAATCATAGCCAGAGGCCCACTGCCTTTCTATGCTTAGCTAGTTCCAATGAAACTGCTACTCCATAGCCATAAAGTATTTGTAAAGTTATATATGTATGTAGTCATTATAGAAGGAGAAAAACTTCATCTCTCTTGCAGGTAAGGTTTAGAAAACACCTTTCAAGAAGAATATACTCACATCACTTAGGGCATTTCCTGCAGCTTTCAACTGCCTGAGCAGTGGGTTCTCTGAGGCAGAAAGTACATTATAATCTGCTTTTCCTTTATTTTTTTCATAGTCTTCTTTGTATTTTACCTGCAGGATGAAAGAAAGCGATACAGTACCTCACAGGTTATTTTTGTCCTCATCTCCATTATGACTATTATGACAGTTCCACAAATCAATTTTCTCTTTATGAAAATGGCAGCTTGACATTTTATGAGAAAAATACTCATAGAACTCATAGTAACAGCAACAGAGATATTGCATAGATTTTCATGATACTTTTTCTTCTCATTCATTTATTCATTGAAAAGCCTACAGGGAGTTGATTATGTGCCTGGCTCTGGGACAGACACAATAAAGAATAACGCATGGTCCCTGCCCTCAGAGAAAGATACATAAATAGTGGGAAAAGAAAAGATACACAAATAATGACAGCACATCATGTTCCAGAGGCTTGGTGCTATAGAGCTTTCACCCAGCTCTTAATATCCAGCTGCCTATCTGCCAGCACATATTTAAAGGAAAGAAACTGGAACCACCATCAACCTACCCTTTCAGGCCTCACCTGCAACTGACCACTTGACATTTCTTCTTGAATGTCCAGAAGGAATTTCAAATCTCACATGTCTAAAGATGAGTTCCTATTTCACCTCCAAGGTAAGTGTTTCTCCTTCCATAGTCTTCCTATCTCGATAGAGGAAACCCTATCCATCCAGCTGAACACCCAAACCTCTCTCTTATTCCCACATCCAATTCATTAGGAAATCAGGTCAGCCCTACTTTCAAAATACTTCTCATCACCCGCCCCGCTGCCTCCAGGTCTACAACACCACTGTCTTGTAGCTGGATATTACAATAGCCTTATAAGTGGGTATTACAATAGCCTTCCTGCCTTCTCTCCTCTGACAAAGCCAAAGCTTGGGCAAAGCCAAAGGTCAGAATTAAGTGTGCTTGGTTTCAAAGTTTATGTTCTTTACAGGAAACACCTCACTTTAGAATGCCAAGGAGTCAGACTGCTTACCAAACCCATTCTATAGAGCATATGGAAATATGGATTTACAGTTTTTGTGAGCAGGATTTTTACCAATCAGTAAGAAAATAAGAAAAATAATGATGGCACTGAGTGTGGGAGCATGTATTTTCTGATAAGGCATCTTTCTTTTTTTTTAATTCTTTTATTGGTACATTGTAGGTATACCACACAATTACATTTCTCATTGGGAACTTGTACCTTTACATGATGCGTCTTGGTTCTTATTTTTTCCCCATTCCTAGCCCTCCCTTCAGCCCTCCACCCTTCCCTATTTACAAAGACTTTATTTCCATTTTTTCCATTTCTCATCATTTTTTCCTTTCCCTTCTTTCCTTTCCCCTGCCCCTCCCACTACCCCTTTGGACATTTTCTTCCTATTTTGCATTATCGATTATTCATTCTAATTATTGGTACATTTTATAAGGTATCTTTCATCTTTCCTAGTAGGAGAAGCCCTGCTAACTTAAATTATGGTCTTTCTACTTCTCAATAGCAATGGGCTCTTTACTCCATGAAATATTGTAGATGATAATTAGGGGTTGTTATACTCCATCAGGACCCCCCAAAATCTAAGTAGTCCTATTATAATTCCAAAGTACTTTTGTTGTTCTTATGGTTTTCATTTTACTCTTCTTTAAATGCCTGGGATCCACTGGTCTCAACTGAAACCAACTTCCCTTCTTTTTTCATAATATACAAGAACGAGGATTTTTCAGCAATTCACCCTACTAAAACCATCAAAATCAATGGGACAGTTTCCTAGTACCTTGCTAGCTGCCACTCCAGCTTTTTTATTCATTTTATATTCTGGTGTTTCAGTCTGCATGAAGTAGATCTGGTCTTTCAGGTTCTCAAAATCTTCTTGATATTTCCTCTGTAAAATATTAAACATACTGGAGTACTGCTGTGGAAACAAACTGCAAAGATTTACATGAGAGGACAATGGACATTTGGAGAAGATATCAAAGCCACACTCACTGGGTTTAGGCAGATTAGATTAAAATTAAAGATTGTAGTGCCATTGCAAAAATGACTAGCCGGGGATTTAGCTCAGTGGTTCTGCCACCTGCTGCACAAAAATGACTAGCAATTTAACAGAGATTTGGAAACATTAAATAGGCTGGAGGAACAATTAGAAAGCCTTCCTTGACCACTAGAAAAGAGCTCTTGAAATCCAGGAGCAGAAAAGTAAGAGAAAAAGAATAATTAGGTTTCTGATTTCCAGTGAAATGGCTACATTAATCAATTTTTCAAATGCAGTTTGGTTCTCAAGGCAAATAAAACTTTTAAAGGCCCACTTTAACTCCCACTAACTGCATTTTGCAATTATTAAGAGGTTGTCATCATGTTGTTCCTATGAAAATTGAGATCAAAATAATAAAAATTGGTCAAAATAATATTTTTCAAAAAGAAAGAAAGGTTTGTGGAATTTCTTTCTTTAACAGGAATTGTGCATCAAGTCTCTTGTCCCTGAGAAGAGGGACCTCAGATGCTCTGGGTGGCTAGAGTCATCCAGGAAAGAGGATCGCTCCCAGGGCATCTGGTCACTGCTTCCTACTCACTGTGTTGATGTTGTCAGCATTCATTCTGGCAGTTGCAATTTCAAAGCAAGGTGTCTCACTCCATTTGCCTTTGACTTTATTTTCATAGTCTTCTTTGTATTTTTGCTAAGAAAAAAAAAAGAAAAGAAAACCTAAAATAAGCAAAGCACAGGACTTGACAATAAAAATAGTAAATTGAGTAATAATGATTAACTTTTAAATATCTTTTTTCTTTTTTGGTTTTTTGAGACAAGATCTGGCTATGTAGCTCAGGCTGGCCTCAAACTCATGGCCATCCTCCTGCCTCAGCCTCCTGAGTGCTGGGATTACAGGCATGTGCCACCATACCTGGCAACTTTTTAAAATTATTAACCAGGCTGTTCTTAGGTCCTTAATAAATACCTTCAAGAAAGCTTTCAGTGCAATAATATCAACTTACACAACCAGAAAATTGAGTAAAGGGGGCTAGAAAATAGGGAGAATACAAACTCCCCTTCCCTTTAATGAGTTTGGGAACTTAGTAAATTCAGAACTTGCAACTGTTCCTAAATGTTGGAGGAAAGACAGTCCAAAGTCATCCCCTATAATTTAGAGTTACAATAAAACTTATCAACCCAAGATTTCCATGCCAAGCAATCTTAGCCATTAATTACTATGCTTTAACAAAACTCCTGGTTACCCAGAAAGCAACAATTATAGAAAAACTCAGCATGCAGGCTAATGAGTAACTCTTCTTCATTTACGCTTGAAGAAATTTAATAAGTTTTGCAATAATCCAAAAATTGACCTGCTGCTCCATCTTAACCCCACCTGTCTTAGGTCAGGAGCTCCTTGAAAAGGTATGTTATGTCTTTGTCATTTTCATACCCTTTGAATCTCACACAAATTGCAGCACGCAGAAGTTATCTCACAGATGTTTGTTCAACTTCCGTAAATTGAACCAAGACTATAATATAAACCACCTTGAACTAAGGTTCTTGAAATAGAGCTAACCCTGCCAACCCCAAACCCAGGTCCACAAGCTGGATCTAGAGTTGGTTAGAGCCACTCCTCTCTGTGGCTCACAGAACTGTGTTGAAGACATAATCACATGAGTCTCACGATGTTTGCATAGCTACCCCTCCACCACAGCCTTCAAGGAAAACAAGAGCAATTCTCTACATACCTTTCACAGAACAAGTGCTAAGGGTAAGGAATATGCAGAGCCAATGAACTTGGGTTAAAGGAAGCACAGACTTCTCCCAAATGCCCCATCCCCTTTCTTCTCAAAAAGGTTCAATATGGTAATTAATAGCAAGTGGGGGGATTGTTTTTGTTGTTGTTATGGCTTGTTTTTGTTTGAGAGAGTCTCACTAATTCAGGCTGCTCTCGAACTCACTGTGTAGCCCAGACTGGCTTTGAACGCTCAATCGTATCTCAGCCTCCTGGATGCTGAGATTACAGGCGTGTGCCAACTCACTCAGCTTGCATGGGTTCCGTAGCTATTAATTTTAGAGCCCTGGACCTGGGTCCAGAAGCCCTGGCCCCAAGACGACTCCACCAATATGAAAGATACAACTTAGCCTCTCCAAGCTTCAAATTCCTCAACCACAAGTGCCAGGACACATTTACATGGAGGACTGCTGGGGAGATTAAGTCAGACCGTACACTGGAGAGGGTTTTGTAAACTCTATAGTGCTAAGCAAATACACATTATAGTAATTGTAATAACTGCTATCATCATAACAGAAAGTAAGATACTCCAGAGGAAAGAAAGTTGAAAGAGTGAATTCTTCATTGGAAATCTTTACTGGGATTAAGATTTGCATTATGTGGCTGCTATCAAGAAATCAACCAATAACAAATGCTGGCAGGGGCGTGGGGAGAAAGGAACCTTTGTCCATTGTTGGTGGGAGTGCAAACTGGTGCAACCACTGTGGAAATCAGTATGGAGATACCTCAGAGAACTAGGACTAGAGGTCCCATTTGACCCAGCTATTCCCCTGCTGGGGATCTTCCCCAAAGAATTAAAAGAATCATACCACAGTGATATATGTGCACCCATGTTCATAGAGGCACAGTTCATAATAGCTAAAGCTTGGAAACAGCCCAAGTGCCCATCAAACTGCCCAAGTGCCCTGGAAACTGGATAAAGAAGATGTGGTTTTTTTTATAAAGTGGAGTACTACTCAGCCATAAAGAACAAGAAACCAGAGACATTTATAGCTAAATGGATGCATATTGAGGCCATACTCTTAAGTGAAATAAATAGGACACATATGTGTAAATACTGAATAGTTTCTCTAGTGTGAGAAACTGAAAGTGTAAATAAGGGATAAAATGATTAAAATGAATAATTGATAATTTGAAATAGGAAGAAAAGGTCCAAAGGGGTAGGGGTGGTAGGAGGGGAAGGGGAAGGGGAAAGGAAAGAAGGGAAAGAAAAAATTATGAGAAAAGAAAAAAAAAATGGAAATGAAGTCTATGTAAATTGGGAAGGGTGGAGGGAGGGAAGGGCGGAAAAACAGGTAATGGGGGAAAAATATGAACAACGATTCTTCATGTACTGGTACAAGCACCAAATGATAGATGTAAATGCATTATACACCTAAAATGTACCAATAAAAGAATTTAAGAAAAAAAAAGATTTGCATTATATTACCAATTGATTTAACTTCCCTCCTCTTTTGAAACTTTAAAGAACTAGAGTCAATAGAATTGTTTTGGATTAACTGAGAGTTTCTAATCTTTTGGAGGGCAAGACCTCTTCAGGAATCTGAGAAAGCTATGACATGTTCACAGGCACTCAAAATCTCGGAGATTCTTACTGTACAAATACTTCAGCTTAAGATCTCTTAATCTCTGATTTTTTTTTTGTAGGGATACTGTCTTTTCCTCTGCTTTCTATCAAAGAAGGAAAAACTCTAGGATTGAAAAGGGCAAATCAGGCTGGATATATCCCAAAGCTAGGATATAGAGAACTTGGTAATATACGTAACTTAAAATTGTAGAGCATCAGAGGTTCTTAATGATGGCCAAAACTTGGACTATTACTAAGAACAGCTACTGTGTATGTAGATTAAGGAAAATTGAGATCAATTCTCACAGTGAGAGACAGATATGATTTTTAAAAAGATATCAAACAAGATGCCAAGTAAAGTGTCAGACCACCCAATCCCATCTCTTCTTAACCTCCACAAACCAAAATGTTATTTCCTCCTACCGCACAGTTGAAATAGGTCAGGATAGAGATGGACTGTTTGCAGTCCACTCCTGAATACTCCCAAATCTGGGAAGATTTTCGCTACACAGGAGGAGGCTGCAGCTTGTTAACTGCTGAGGAAGTTATGACCTTCACTTTCATTCACAGGTAGGAGAGAAGTTGAAAGGACAAAGCTCTGTAGCTGGAGGGAGAGGAAGCGGGGGAAAGAGTCCACATGGGACCCTCTCGCGACGCCAAGGAGTCTCACTCTATGTGTTAGGCATTTTGTGTGATACCCAAGAATTTCTCTCCAACACTTCTCTCCCTTTGAGTTGGAGTTGGAATTAACCAATGAAAACTGAGAGGAAAGAGCCGATTTAACTTTCTCTGGGATTGTTTGTTTAAAAGAGGAAAGTATATTAAGTTAACAACACGCTTCGGGACACGTTCTGTAGGAAGGAAGGTGACACATGTCCACAGATACAGTAAGATTGATTCCCCCACACCACTGTTGTTCCTTTTCAGAAGTCAACTAAGGCTACTTCACTGGGCTGCACGTTAAGCACTCGAATGTCTGCTTAAACACATGGCTTCATTTTCTACTTTTCACATCTGCATTTGTAGTTTGATATGGTTATCAGATGGAAAGGAATACAAAGCCAGTCAGTTAATTGGTCTCTTTCTGTGGGTAGTTATACCTTGGGACTTCTGATGGCCCCATTCATAGATATGTTTTTAGCGGGGGTCAAGGAGATCCCAACTGATATTTTTATTGTCCACAGGGGCCCAGAGCTGCCTTCCTGATTCAGTCAAATCTCTTCTGATGAAATCAATGGGAGCCTTCCTAATTCTACATGATAGGCATTTCCATGGTTTCAGAAGATCAGAGTTTCATATCGTGTAACAACATGTTGCTGAAAGATTGTGTTTATCAACTGCAAATTCCAGCCTGAAATTTTATTTTCTTCTTATTGTGAATCTAGAGGGATGCAGAGAGGCAGGCACAGAGAAACTAAAGGAACTTCCACATGTTGCATTCAGCACCTGGCTTTTAGCTGATCATAGGGTGCCTTCTTTTCTCACCTGAAATACCTGCTGATATGGACAAGTCTGTCCATCTGCATTAGAGCTACAGGATGCACCTGAGCCAAGACAAGTTGCTTGCATGTAGCTGATGACACTGGCCAAAGACAAAGTAAAATAAATGATTCTGGCAAGTATAGTTAGGAAGGCCGGTAAACAGAAAACATTAATATAATCATTGGAGATATGTGCTCCTTCCCATCTGAACTGGGGGCTATAAGACCTTTAAAGCGTAGATCTGGAAGATGTTTGGCAAGGGAATGCCAAGAGATTACGTGGATAAGATGTTTACCTATTTAGGAGGGAAAGAGTAATCCAATAATGCTGAAAGATGAGTCAAAGTAGACTGATAGTGGAGAAGGCTCCAAAAGAAGGGAAGAGAGTTACACAGACGAGTCGCCCTTGGCAGGCCCATGCCTCTCTTGCTGGACGGTTGGCTGTTGAATGGACTGTTACCAAGCTCAAGCATTACTTTCCAACATGTTTATTATTTTGGATGCACAATAGTCATTAAGAACTTGGAAATCTGGGTAAGACTAGGATGAATTATGTCACTATGGCCAAATCCAGTGACCTTTATCCACAGCCACTCTTCCCTTAGCTCACATTATTATTCTTCAATGGCAAACCCAAGTATGGCAATGATTCAAAGGATCCGGCACTGTCATCTTATCCAACTAGAGTAGTGTAATCCAATAGACATAAAATGGAAGCCACTCTAGTATTCACATTTTTTAATACAAAAAGGAACAGATGGGAAAATAATCATTTTACTTAAGCCAACAGATCCAAAATATTATCATTCCAACATACAATTAATATAAAAATAATAATTGAACCATTTCACATTGATATAGGGCTCTCAGTGTTATGGAATGAATTTGCCCCCCACCCCCAATTCATATGCTGAAGATTTAAAACCCAATGCAACCGTTTTTGGAGGTTGGGCCTTTAGGGTGTACTTCATTTTCAGTGAGTTTTTGAGGGTGGGGTTCCCATGATGCGATTAATGTCTTTATTAGAAAAATAAGACCAGAACTTTTACTCTGCCTCCACTTTGGGAGGGCACAACAAGAAGGTGGGCTGTCTGCAAGCCAGGAAGAAGGCCCTCCCCAGGCACTAAGTACTTGATCTTGGATTTCCAGCCCCCAGATCTGAGAAATAAATGTCTGTTGTTTAAGTCACCCTGTGTACTGCATTTTGTTATAAAAGCCCACATTGAATTAGGCTCAGTTTGTACTAGTCACGTTTCAAGTGCTTAATAGTCACATTCAGCTAGTGGCTACTCTCCTGAAAAGCACAGTGCTAATCTAATGGCAAGCCGTTGAGAGAATGATTATGGAGGAGTTTGAAAGGAATTTTTTAAACTCACTTTTAGGTTCCTACATTGCATAACCAAATAAGTGAAAAAATATTTCCTAAGATTTCTTTTAAAATAAGCTTTAAATAAAAATTAAAAATAGATTCCTTTTTATTTCTAAAGGATCACTTAAAAAGTCTTCTAAGAAGGTAAATTGTCCTTCCCAATCTTATTTCCACTATAGAGGCTTTCAGTAGCCACCATTTTTTGCACAGTTCTCAAGTTAATCTCTGCTTAGCCCTGGGGAAAATGTCAGATTGGTGGTACTCCTATTCATGAAATTTCACTATTCTTGGGAGATCCTTTTTCTAAACAGCCCCTGCTAAGTAAGATGCAAAATCAGGCACCAAAACACATTACTAAATAGATTTCATCTTTTATCTTTTCTTCTTTTTCCTCTACTAAAGAAATAACTTTCCCCTCAAGAAATAAGATAGAATGTGTGACAGGCTCTCACTGTGTAGTTCAGTCTGGCCTTGAACTCACTATGTAGTCCAGAATAGACTTACGCTCCTGTCTATCTTCCTTCCTCAGCCTCCCAATGGCAGGGATTACATAAGCATTCCACCATACCTGACCCTTAAAATAGAAAGCTTGAGATTCCATCAAAATTCAAGCAGAAAACCAAATTGAGACTCAACTCCACAGAGGGCAAAGAAAGGTATTTAAAAGCAGCAATACCCCAGGAGAAAGTTACCCGATGTGGACCAGGACTTTAACATAGGCTCATTCACTAGCTGAACATTTGTCTTCCTGCATTCTTTGTCAGGGCTGCATTCCTCAGAGCTCATTTATCACCCTAAATATAGACAGCCTAAGCTGTTTGCTAGGACCTGAAGTTAGAAGTCCGCTGCCCACTGCTGTCAACTAAGCTATGTCTGAGAGCCCACTCATGAATTCGTATTTGCCCTCATCTGACAGCATAACCCTACACTGGGTCTTCACACTGAATTAAACTAGAGCCTCCATGGAAGGGAATGGTTACTTAGTTACTCTGGTAGTATCACTCTCACAAGTAAAACTAATCAAGTGATACTCGAACAGACTCCTTTTTTATGAGGTGACCTTGACATTTAGAAGTTATTGAATTATTGGGCTGGGGATTTAGCTCAGCAGTTCTGGCACCTGCCTCGCAAGCGCAAGGTCCCAAGTTCGATCCCCAGTACCAAAAAAAAAAAAGTTATTGAATTATCAAGCTGGCTAAATATTTTTTCACATAGGTAATGCTGTTGGTGGATATATTGCTTTAGAGTTTGGGGGGTCACATGCAAAAAACCCTTTGTATTTCATCTTCAGGTTCACCTCCATTTTCTTTCCTTAATGGTTGAAATTATTAAGCAGAGTTTTCAAAAGAGACAGTGTACCAGCTGTATTTACTTACCTTGCTCACTTGATTGGTTACTTTCTTGGCAAATTCTATATCTGGAGGATCAGCCAGAGGGGTGAACTGAGATTGCTGTTCAGCGAGACCTTTTTTGTAGGCAATCTGACAAAATTAAAAAAAAAACAAAAAACAGAGATGTTCATGAACCACAGTTAATTATACTATTATGTTGCATTTGTTGGCATTTTTCAAAGGGATGATGTTTTACTCTTTGAAGTCTTAAATTTTAGTGTGTCTTGTAACCATAATCTTCTGCATGTTACATGGACTTGCTCTTAGTATTGCTAATTATTTCTATTTCCTTGAGTCTTTCCTCTTCTCCGGGACTCTTGGCCCTAGACCTGTTTCCTTCCATTCGTTTTCATGCTGTAATTTATAATTGCAACTTTCTTTTCGTCAGCTACCTCAACTCTCAACCTTTCGTCTTTTCTTCCTACCCACTTAACCAAGCTCCAGTTTTGGATCAATTCAATCACACAGTAATACTGAGTGCTACAGAAGAAAAATCATACAAATGTATGAATGGGACAATAATATTGTGCTCCACAGAGATAAAGAAAGGGACAGAGAGCTGTAGAGGGGAGAGAGCCTTTGAACTGCAGCATGAGATCCATGTGCCTACCCAGTAGTATTTTCTGTGAACAACATCGTGCTTGGGGCTCTGTGCCCAGCACCCTATGACTTTATGGTATTCAATGGCTGCTTTGACTTCAATAAAGGTTAAACATCTCCACTATGTGTCTCTGGTCAGCCTTAGTGCCAGTAGCTAGTCTAAAATCCCAACATTGCCCTTAGATCCCCCATCAAGTCCAGCTCATTCCCAGCTTCCTCTTACATCTTTCCAACCCATCTCCGCCACTTCCACTCCCTGCCCTGGCTCCAAGGAGCAGCACCCCCACCGGGCATGGCTCACACTCTGCACCATTCCTTCCATTGCCCTTTGTGTCTAGCTCTATCGGTCATCCCTTCTCTTTCTCACAGGTTCAATCCCTCCTTTTTCATGAACTCCTTCCCTTCAGCCTAGAAAAGGCTTCTATCACCTAAAAATATATACAGTGTCCATGAATCACACATCCCCCCCACTCTGACTCTTTCAGATTTTTTTTCCCCACCAATCTTAAACACTTCCAATTATTCATAAATCAGCCCTCAAGTTCCCCAGGGCATTGTACATGCTGTTCCTTCACTCAAGAATATCCAGCTCTTCCCTCTCCCCACCTTCCTAAGAACCTTTGCACCTTTCTACATCTCAGGACAGCATGGCTTTCCCTCCCTGACTCCTCGGGCAGATGCGATGTCCTTCTCTTGGGGTTTACTCGACATGGCCCTTCTCTCTTTTAAGGTTATCAGGTGACATCATCATGATGGTTCACACACCCATCCCCCTTCTGGGGCTCTGGGATGGCAGAGGAAAGTCCTCTCCTTGTAGCCCGCATTGTGCCTGACTAAAGGGAAGGTTTAATCTCTGATTTCTGAATGTGTGTCTTGCAGACTGATGCCCTGAGGGGAGGTCTGAAGGGTAGGGTTACCCTCCCAGCTCTTCTACTACTCAGCTGAGACACTTCTACAGATTATTTTTTCTTCTACATGGCAAGATTTTTATTAGAAAAAGGAGGTAGATAATTGCATGGTCCTAATTATACTTTAACCAATTCTAACTATATCTTATCCTAATAGTATCTATCTAGTGCATATAACAAAAGCTTTCATGAATATCAAATCAAGTGGGATATGAAAGATGGTTTTAAAATGTATAAATTCTACAGCTAAACTTCCTTTAAGTGAAGAACTTTGTTTTCGGTAAAGAGCAAGTGGAATTTTCCATGGCTCGGTAAGTCCTTAGGGAGAAGACAACATTTAAACAGGAGAAATGCTGATTAAGTATGACATCCTGTCAAGATGTTTCAGAGAAATCAGCTCTTGAAGCCCTTATTTCTCAGGAACTTTCTTCAGAATTCTGACTAGTTAGATTTTTTTTTTCCCCCCAACAGGGTCTCAAGAAGTGGCTAAATTGCCCGGGCTGGGCTCAAACTCGTGATCCTCCTGTTTCAGCTTCCCACAGTACTTGGATTACAGGCATGTGCCACAATAACAGGCTCTATCTATTTAGAATTCTACATTGTAGGTCAGCTTGAAGAATCTCTTAGTATCTGCAAAGTTTTTGCCTTTATTTATATAATAAAGAAACCATGGTAAGTAGAGTTAAGAGGGACACAGAGGAGAGAGAGAAAAACAGCCTCAAATCCAAGCCCCTAACTCAAAGTATATGTGCCTACCCAGTGGCATGTTCTGTGAACAACAGCTTGTTTAGGAGGCTGTGCCCAATAATTGTAGAAACTTGTGGTGTTGACAATAGTATTAATAGCCTCGTTGGTAAACTGATAGTGCATACTTGGGTCTGTAGTAGAAATAAAAGCTATATCCTAACTGCCAAGTAGAAGTGGGGAATATTTTACTTCATTACTGTATGTTCTCCTTCATCATGTCCAATATTGTGATATCTCCAAAATGTAGCCAATTTCACTTGTTCAAAGTCCATACACCAAATGGATTGAGGAGGTAATCCTTCATCTTTGTATTATGGATTAAGGGAGATCCCAGGAGATTAAGTGTCTTCTTGGAAACCTCCCCTAGGCTTACATGACATGGCATTTCCTGGTTCCCCTTCAACTTCTCTGTTGTTCCCTCATCCTTTTGCAGGCAGTTTTCCAGATGTCCTAACTGTGAATATCCTCCAACACTCTGCCCTTGGCTGTGCCCTCTTCTTCATCCTCATACATTTTGTGTCTTCAGCTACAGCTTTTGTTTTGATGACTCTTAAATATTAAGTTCTTGCCCTGATCTCACATCTAAGCAAAGTACAAAATTTCTAATTTACTCACAGGGTGCCTTCATCTGTTCCTTCCATTAACTCAAGTCAGTTTCTTTCTCCATTAAAGCATCTTTACCAGCTGTACCTATATTCACTCAGGCCATCTGCCTATGGTCATAAACTCATCTATGACTTCTTTCTCTCCTTTGTCTCCAATACCCAGTTACCACTTGTTAATACTTATTATCTTCAGATTCATTTCTTTTTTGTTCCCTAACATCTCTCTGACCCATCTATAGTACTAAAATAGACTTCTACAAATTATGATGATTTCTTGTTTTTGCTAGTCCTAATTCACCACACTGTGACAATCAGAATGTCTCCAGATTCTATTTTTGTCATATTGTTTTTCCCTCCAGACTCTTAGGATCCTCTTATTGCTTACCCTATCATGTCAAAGCTATTTTGTCTGATTTTTAGGTTTCTGCCGCCAGCAAGCTCATAAATCCCCTCCAAACAAAACATTGTTCACTTACGTTATTCCTTAACACTTCAGAGTCATTTCACCCCTGTCGTTTGGTCCAAGCACTCCCTTAGCTTGAAATACCTTTCTTCTTCATTACTACTCCTCCCCCTATTTTTACCTCCACAGGCCTGAGTACTGACGTGTATCCTTTCTCATACCAAGTTATTAGACTGTTGCATTGTGCTTTGATTTTAATTTTTTCTTGCTGATATGTAACATTTCATCTTATAAGCCTGATTATAAATTCTCAGGGGCAATCATGAAAATTTCTGGTAATATTTTTCTATCTCACCAGGTATTCATGCATAATACTTTATCTAACATAAAGTATAAATTGTGTCTAATATAAATTTAGATATTATAAATTATGATTCTAAATGTGCTCCTCTGCAATAATGGCATTTAGTCTTTGTAACAAAAGTGCAGTGATCATCTGTGAAAGACGTAACCCAAATCTCCCTGACTCCATACTCCCAAATGGTGTCAACTGCACTTCACTTACATCACTGAGAGCTTTCTGGGCCTGGGCAACCCTCCTTAGTTCCGGGCTATCATTATATGGGTAAAACAAACTTTTGTCTGCTTCCCAGTCTTCAGTATACAGTTTCTAAATCAGAAAAGAATGAAAAGTTATGAGAAAAATGAGATCACACTTACATGAAATACATTGTTTTAAACTTATTCATCAATGGTATAAGGAATCAAGGGCAAGGTGAGAGCAAAGGTAAATGAAATTCACAGAGAACCTCTCTCTTTCCATTCAGTTCAAGACATTCTTGTTAATAGCTTGTCCTGATGTGCCTGATTTTGGAATAGCTGTCACAAAATAAACCTCTATAAAAAAGTGATAGCCAGGGATATCCAAAGTGTAACACAGGGTCTACAGAAAAATCTAGAACATTGTTGAAATCTTAAGTGTTTCCAAGGAACATGTTCCTCTGAGGCTGCTCAGGTTCTCAAAGGACTCTCCACCACTCAGCCCAAGAACTGTCCTTGAAAAAAGCTCAGGCTGACTCTTGCAAGCTCATTCCTGTTTCAAAGCTACTCACAAAAAACCTGGGAAATTATATATCAGATTGTCAGGAGTTTATCAAGGGTTGCTTTAAAGCATATGGTTGGGTTACACAGGAAGCTAGACAGGGCAGTGAAGCAGAGGCTCTTACCTTACTGAACATGGCTGTGTTCTTAATAGCCTGGACAAGTTCAGGGGCGTCAGGGGGAAGCAGGTACTTATCCTTGGTGTCTTCCCAGTTCTGCCTGTATAAAACCTAGACAGGAAGAGCAAAAGACCTGTGGTAGGCAGAAGAACTGGAGAAGAGAGGGGAGTAGGGATGGCAGCCGCACACACAGGCTGCCTAAGGGTTACCAGGAAAACGCTGGCTATGTCCACATCCGACGATACGTCACCCATATTAGGAATCTTTTCTTGAAATTCTAATTTTTTTCAACTGATTCAGGATTCTGATTCTCTATAAGTTCTTTTCAAAGGTTACAACCAATCAATCATTGACTCAATTTGGCCGCTGGACACATTTCTTTTAATTTGCATGGTATTTGAAAATGTTTAATAGTTAGTGGCCTGCATTTGTAATTTGGAAATTTCTCATAAAAATTTAGTTCCCCAGATCTTTAACAGATAGAGACTCCAGCAACAGTGAGACTGCATTCAGGGCAGCAACTCCCTGCAGCTGATTTGTAGCTGACTCTTCGGGCAAGTTATGGAAGCTTTAATCCACCTATCCCTCCTGTGGGCTACTTCAGCCATCTGTGGAGCCCCCTTCATGAATGTGGGGACTGTCCATGGGACTGGTGAGCCGGATCGGGTCTGTCCCTTCCTTAAGACACAGCAGAGGTGACTGTGGGACACTGAATATCCCAACCACCCATGCCATAATCTTACCTTGCTGACTTGCTGCGACACTTTCTTTGCATGTTCAATATCTTTTGCTTTTTCATCCACGTGACAGATCGTCTTAGCGACATCACCATCCATTCGATACTTAACCTGTGGAAATAATACAAGATTAGAGTTCTTGACAAGCATAAACATGTGAGTATGGTAAAGAATATCATATAAATAAAGAGCATCAACCCAGTGGCCCTAAGTCTGCATCACAAAGCAAAGCTTCTGCATTTTAGCTGGGACACCATGATCTTTGTAGATCCACAGGACACCTGTATTCACTGTTCTCTGCTTTCCTGGCCAAATTTCCAGCCTGGTGCTTCTCGACCTCACCGTGCTTCAGTGTGGAGGACTACAATGAATTAAAGTTTCCATCTCATAGCCTCCTCTCAAGCTAGCCGCTAAACTAAGCTTTTAGCAATAAAAATTGAAAACAAAAAGTCTCTGGCTTCATATTTACAGCAACATAATCTATGACTTCTGCTTTCTCGATCCCTTATTCTTTCTACATATATTTAAAGCCCTAGTCCCAGTGCTAGGCATATTTTTGAAATGTCTCTCTTCTTTATTTTAGCAATGCAACCCACCTCGCTGAGTTGATCTTGTACTTTCTTGATTCTTCGAAGTTCTGGAGTGTCACTTGTGCTGGCGTATGACTGTCCTTTTGCTTTCTCAAAGTTCTCTTTGTATTTACTCTAAAAAGCATATCGGATATTAGCTCAGATCCTGACAAGACAGCAGCAGAAACTTCAAGCCACATATTCATCCCAATATAATTTTTCAAAGTCCCCCAAGTTATAACAATTAGCAGTTATAACAGCTTTCATTTTGTCCCATACCCGCTCACCAAAAGCTAAAATAGAATCTGTTAATTGCTCTTCCTAAAAATGACTGGATCCTGGAGATTTTATTATTTCTGTTGACTATAAAATGAATTCTTGCTTTAGTAGTAATATACATTGTCACTATTGAGGCTTCAAAGAATACTCTTGAGTGGAATGATCAATAATCTAAATTATATTATTGGTTTAGCTACTAACCATTTTAAAAATACTACAGAATAAAAAAAACTACAGAATTTTGCTAACATTCTGTTCAGAATATCAGAAATTCTAAGTTCATAGTGTCTAAATTAACAAAATGTATTGGCAATAAATTAAATAATTTTCTGTCTTTGCTGAATACCAGTGATTTTTTTTTAAAGGCAAGAAAATCTTGAGGTTTTTTTTGGTTTTTTTGTTTTTAAAAAACCTGTCTTTGAAATAGGAAAAAGTCCAAAGGGGTAGGGGTGGTGGGAGGAGATGGGGAAAGGAAAGAATGGAAAGGAAAAATTATGAGAAAAGAAGAAAAAATGGAAACGAAGTATGTAAATAGGGAAGGGTGGAGGGGTGAAGGGCACACGGGTAATGGGGAAAAATGAGAACCAAGATACATCGTGTACAGGTACAAGCACCCAATGATAAATGTAAATGTATTGTACACCTAAAACGTACCAATAAAAGAATTTAAGCCAAAAAATAAAATAAAATTCTGTCTAATCTTAAAAAAAACAACAAAAAAAACAAAAACCTGTCTTAGGTCATCAACAGCCTCCAGGAGTTAACACTTAACCAAAAGTGAATATTTATTGGCCCTCCACAGCAGGATGCTTTTACCATGAACTTTAGTCTCATGCCCTCCAATGATCCCCAAGCTACATTTCATTTTCTGAAGCCCTCAGAGGATGTGCAATCAAACTGCCTAATGAGACCTCAGCCCACCATGGAAAATTAACAAATTAGATAAAGTGAAATGGGTCTAAATTCGCTGCCAGTGGAGGCAAGCTGTAGGACCATACATGGGAAGTAAGGACCAGCGATCATTAAGCGCAGTGCTTCTCAGCCTGGCCTACATATAAGAATCACCTTGGCAGCCTTTAAAAATCCTTCTGCACAGGCCTGAGCTTTGGCCCAATTAAACTAAAATGACCTGAACACCAGCAGTTTTAAAGCTCCTAGGGGATTCCACTGTGTAACCATGGTTTTAAAACCACATAGTTCTAGGGTATACACAACCATTCTGATTCTCAATTGCAAATCAGTTCTTAGTCTCATCTTTATTTCCTAAACTACAAAATTTTTTTGATATATCCCTCTTAGAGATCTTTTTATATACTGGAAGCTATTCTACTTAAGAGGCTATTCCATTCAGACATAGTTTACATATGTGGTTTTTAGCTCCCACCAACTGATCTCAGTTAAATTTATATTTGATTTCATTATTGCAGATTGGCTGACCATGATTAAACACCAGTAAATGTTTTATAAATGGCCTTATGCTTATTTTACAGGAATAACTTCAATAAGGATGCTCACCCTGATGTGGTTATGGTACAAATGGATTTCATAAAAGGAAAAGTCAAGAGTCATAAGGAAAGAATTTATGTTTCTGCACACCCCAGGTGCCTATCAACTGGAAACTGGATAAAGATGTG